GAAGAAATGTATTTTAATAATGTCACATAAAGTGTAAAATGCTGTCTCTTATACACATCTAGATGTGTATAAGAGACAGGTATAATAATGTAACTTCCGGCTGACAATAGAGGGTGTGCTATTTACAATTAGTGATAGCTGATTATTGGAAAACCGGTCACCGAGGAAAAGAAAACAACCGGTAAAAGTTAAGATTTTGACAAACTTCGAAAATCATGATGCATTGTCAAATTAATTTTACTACATCAAATATGTGTTAAGTGAAAAATCATGAAATCCACCGAAGTAGCAGATGTGCTCAAGTTGTTCTTGGCTGGAGGTAAAGTGGAAGACCATAAATAAAGGGTCCTAGCCCTAGGCCTACCTTACTTGAGGCCTAGACTAGGCCTAAATCCAGCCTCGGCTGCTGTTCTCCTCCTCCTAGCGCCGATTCTTACTTTCTTTTTAGGCAGAAGCCAAGGCACTACACGAGGCCTAGGATAGACCTAAGGCCTAGCTATTTTATTAGTTTTTTTTTTCTTTTTGTATTATTAAGACCTAAATTAGCTTCAAGCAGTGTTAAGTTAAATGTGTTTGCACCAATTTAATAGTACTTTCTTGATAATTTTGGATTCGTTTTTAGTCACAAGAACATCATTGAAATAGGCCTATGCCTAGATCTTTTAATTCATCCGTACCATTTTCCATTAGAATGCTTAATCAAAATATCAAATAAGTATTATGGCCTAATTATAATTTATTTTCTCCACTACGAGCTATTTATTATTATACTAACTACTGAATTTTGTTTTGCGATGTGATGTACCAACTGATTTTCCGTAAGGACATAAATAGAGAATCATGAATCTTAAATAAGTTCAATTTTTAATGTTTTTTTTTTAGTGTCAATTTTTCAACACAATATTCGTAGCATTTTTAACTTTTTTCTTGATTTTGTTGAATTTCATTTTTTTATATATATTTGTATTTTTTTATATGTAAATTGTAACCATTTTGTTGTAATTTCAGCTGCGATGCATTTTGAAATAAACCTTGAATAATAATTATAAAGCTTATAAATTTCCTTCCATTTCAACCAGACTGTAAAGTAAGGTCAGCACGGGGAATATATCCTCCGGGCAAAAGTTGAGCAGAAAAATCCATCTGCGCATTTTTTGAAAATAAGGGCCAATTTGCACGCAGATTTAGCTGAAAATTAGTCTTTGACCTAATTATATCATCATCAGTAGGGTCTTTCGTCTTGCGACATAAGGCTCTCCACTATTTCGAGCCATTTGCTTCTGTCATGGGCAGGATGGTTTTGTGTTTTTTCTATTGTATGTTTGATTTCTTTTTCAACTTTCGCGATCCATGTTAGTTTTGGTCTTCCTTTTGGTCGCCTTATTTTTTTGTGTATTTCTTTTATTGCGATTTTTGCTGGTGATTCATCAGGTAGTCATATCAAGTGTCCATACAAATTAAAACGACGTCCTTTAATTGTATAACTCCAGTTATTTTGTTTAGTGAATTTGATATATAACTCAGTGTTACTGACTTCGTCTGACCAATTGATATTTAATATCTTTCTAAATCATTTTCCTTTGAAGTACATCAATTTTTGTGGGAGTGCCTTTGTGAGTGTCCAGAGTTCACTATTGTAAGGAAAAATACTTTCTACATACATATTAAATAAAATCTTAGCTTGATATTATTAGATAATTTTCTGCTTTCGAGTACATTTTTCATTTTGTTATATGCAGCAGAAGCTAGTGCTTTTCTTCTTTTAATATCTTGACTGGTATCTAGAGTAGACTTCCCAAATATTTATATATCTTTTCCACTGGTCATTACCTTTTCTGGTTTATATTGATTTCTTATTACAGATAACAGAGTCACTGGCCGAATGTTTTTTACGGGCCCTTGCTTCTTACCAGGCTTTTGAAGTGGGTGCAAGATACCATTATTTATTTCATCAGGCATTTTTCCTGTTTTTGCCATTTCATTGTAAATTTCTGCGATTTTTGTATGAATTTCGACTGGTGCCTATTTAATTAATTCGGCATAGATCCCATCCCTTCTGGGGGATTTATATTCTTAAGACATTTTACAGCTTTACTGATTTCATATTGGGTGAAAGGAACTGTCATTTCTACAGGCGAAACATTTTATCCTCATTATCTTTATGGTAAATATGTGTTATAATTTTAACCTGTTAACCTGTTCCTCTTCGTTAGATGTCACGCCATTATCTGTAGTTACGATAAGTTTTTTTTTTCTTTATATACAATTAAGAGGTCTAACTGCTTGATACATTTGATTGGAATTATCTTTCTGTTTTTCTATTTCATTTCAGCTACTTCATCATTCTAGAATCCTTTTCTCTCTTTGTTTTAGTATGTAACTGTTTTAATATTTGGTTTCTTTTCTAATTTCTTTTCATTTATTTTTATCTTTCGTGGCATTCATATCATTTCTGAGCTTCTTTTGTTTTTCTGATTTTGTTTGAGATTTAAAACCTATATTGTTTTTTTCCTATAATTTCTTTGGCTGCGACTTTGTATACTTCTTGTCTAATTTTCATGTATTGCATTTGTGTAATTAGGTTTGTCTATCTTAAGTTTTTCAATTACCTTCTCTCTATATGCTTCTTGGTTGTCTTTACAATGGAATTTTCCGATGTCTGATTTATATTTTTTCATTCTTTTTGCTTTCATTTTATACCAATCAAATTTTAACCTAGCTTTAACTAATCTGTTTTCACATTTATACCGCTATAAGACCTGCAATCCAGAACAAATTTCATTTGATCTCTCCTAATTAACAGGTAATCAATTTGGTTTCGGTATCTGGGAGTTTACATTCTAATCCTCCTTTATCCCTATGTGCAGTATGTCTGACAGGGCATTCCCATGTCGCCCTATGGGACACCTTAAACATTGTGATGCTGATCACTAGGTTGTTACGGATAGCACACTCAATGATTTGTGCACCATAATTCACCTCAACCTTCCCGTAACTGCCTACATATTGGGGGTTGTCACTGTTTCCCTTCCCTTCCCTAAATATAACCAATGTCAGTTGCAGTAGTTACAATTCTGCGCACCTACTTTCCTAGCGATTTTCTGCACAAATCTGAGCTGGTTTTGAGGTATCATCCATGCAATTAAAATATTTACAGTATGGTATTTCAATATCAGATGGTTTCTCTATTTCAACAGGTGGTTTGAAAATTTGAAATCCAATTGATTATTCAAAAGCTTTTTACTTTATAAGTGTAGATTCTATGCCATATCATCATGCTAAATTTTAAATACCTTTCTAATAAAGTGCATCTTTGAAACTATTCTTTTAATACTTAGGTAATAATATTACTATACTAGAATAATGCTACACTGTTAATGTTAACAGTTTATCTTCATTCCAAATGAATTTGTCCAAAAGAATAATGCTACTATCTATATTTTCTGTCTGTTTAGGTGTTGCAGGATGCTGTGCAAAAACTATGATAGCTCCACTTGATCGTGTCAAAATACTTCTTCAAGCACAAAACGAACACTACAGACACTTATGTTGGTATAGTATAAGGGGAGTTTCAAGCAATAGATCATATATTCATGTGTCATTCCAAGTCAACTAATCTATTTTCCATTCAAAATTCACATAATCCATAAGTGTATTGTAGGTAAAAACATGTATATTTACCTGATGCTTACATACTATACAAGAAAGTATAGTTATTCCAAGTACTGAAATATACAGCATCTTGTTGAGATTAATATTTAGACATTAATCAGGAATGACATATACTGTACAGCCGTTTGAAATGAAATATAACAAATGCTGGTGATAGTAAGTAAAATGCAATTGAGGTATTGCATTAGGAATCAAACTTTGGGGAACATGCTGCTTGTTTTCATGCCAATCTTCACTTGTGTCCAGACTATCAAATCTTATTTGACAAAAACATGTGACATGCCTAAATATGGTCACGATGACATCACATCATGACCATATATAGGCACGTCATGACTATATACGGGCATACAACAACTTGGCTCAAAATCTGTCATGCCAATCTTCACGTTTATCTTTTAAGATCTTTTAAGTCCTGTCCAGACTACCTAATTTTATTTGACAGAAACATGTGACATGCCTAAATATGGTCATGATGACATCATATCATGACCATATATAGGTACATCATGACTATATATGGGCATGCAATTTTTTTTTGTCAAAGAAAATTTGATAATCTGGACAGAGCTCAATGTTTTGTACACACTATCAAATTTTATGCGATAATGTTGTGTTATATGCCCATATATGGGTATGATGATGTAATATTACACCCAAATATGGGCATATCACATTTTTTGTCACATAAAATTTGATAATGTAAAGAGAGCTTAATGGTAAAACACTTTACTTGAATCACCTTGTCATTCAGATAGAATGTTAGGATGTCGGTCCTTGAACATAATGTTTCTATTATATGTATGATTATTGATGGATGGAGTGAATGTGTTTCCAAAAACCAATATTTATGAACAGTCACCAATTTGTCTTACCTTTGACTCTCTGTCATGCAGAGAACACCCAATGATGTGTTTTTGTATGACAACCGCTTTTCAATTGTAAAAATGTTGATGTTTTTTTTTTTAGCTGTGACATCTGCAGTAACAGCTGTTGTGAAGAAGGAAGGCTTCTTAGGTTTATACAAAGGAAATGGTGCAATGATGATTCGAATATTTCCCTATGGTGCAATACAGTTTGTGTCTTTTGAGCAATATAAAAAGGTTAGACACATTAATTGAGCCAAAAAAATAATATAAACTAGTTTTCTAATCCCTGCCTTCTTCATGTTCCATGTGGGCTTGCCTTGTCACGTTGTGGTCTCCATGAGAACACTTTAGAAGTACAGTAGGGTGATACACAGCAAACTTTCAAATTTTTCTACATTGGAGTAGATTAGATTCTGTGTTGCTAGCATAACAACTCAATCTGCTTTTTCGTTTAATTTAGGATGAGAAACTTCACTGATGTCTATTTTCTCAAATAAAAACATATAATGTTCACTAGTTTAATATTTTTTTTTTGGACATCATGATGAAAGATTTTCATCATTTGTTTTTATCCGTAGATTACACAATCATGGCTAGGACAAGATTCACATATTGCAAGGCTAATTGCAGGCTCCGGTGCAGGTAAATTAACCTCTTCTTCCTTGAAATAATAATATTTTTAAGCAGGGGTGGCACCAGCGCGTGGGCCATCTGGGCCGTGGCCAACTCGTTGAGGACACTTGCCCTAGTCGTCAGAGAGTCATGGTGAAATCTGTCAAGCAAAGATAGTTGGCCTGAGAGTGCCATTTTTAGGCATCTTGTCACATAATCTGTTTCGTCCCACCACAGCCCCAGCCAGGGTTGGTGGGTGGGGGGGGCTGAAGTGTGAGTGGCCATCTCTCGGGGTATGATGAACCACTTGTCGTGAAAGTGCTACGCCACTGCTGGTTTAAGATATGTGGATATTTTTATTTGATTAGGTGTGACGGCTGTACTGGTTACCTACCCTTTGGATGTCATTCGAGCCAGGCTAGCATTCCAGGTTCATGGAGAGCATTACTCCGGTATTATCCATACATTTCACTCCATATGGCATCAGGTAATTCCATGTTTGTATGAATTTTTTTTTTCAAATTCTTATGAACACATAAATTTTAATCTGTATTTCTTTTTGTGATCGATAAAGATTCTGTGCACAGTACAGTACTAAATACACCAACAAGTGTGTAATGTATTAGTGTTCGTTAAGTATAATGTGAATTTGAACATTTTAAATTTACTTAACCATTTTAATTTTGTTTACAGGAGGGCAAAATGAAAGGATTTTACAGGGGTTTCATTCCTACCTTTATTGGTATGATACCTTATGCAGGTAAGAGGGTTCATCCGTTTAAAAAATATTTTTAATAGAGTACAAAGCATATATTTTTCTGTGACCTCTGAATTTAAAGAATATTTAAGCCATTTTAATTATTTTCAGGCATAGCATTTTATACTTATGAAACTGCAAAGCGTTTTATTGTGGAACAAGGTCCCAGGTTTTTGTCAAAACCATCACCGAGCCAACCTGATGAACGAGTACTCTCAACAGCCTGTAATCTAGTAGTTGGTGGTGTAGCAGGGGCTTTAGCGCAAACAATATCGTAAATCTTTTTTTTTTTTAATTTGATATTAGCAGCAATTCCATCATATAAAGATAATGATACTCAGGTACATGTTATTTAAAATCACTTACGCAGTATTCAATAAACATATAAAAAAACATTCAACGATTGATAAAAGGAAAACATATCGAAAACTCCATAGGGTAACATAGTATAATACATACTCCAAGTATCGAAATGCACGCCATCGTGTCAGGATTCAATATTTTGACATTAATTACGTCATCATCAGGAAATAGGGTAACACTCTTAAAATAAATGACACAGAAAGGGATAAAGCCCAAACAGATTACAAATGAAAGTATAATACATACTCCAAGTATTGAAATACACGCCATCGTGTTGGGAATCAATATTTCGACATTAATTTTATCATCATCAGGAATTACAAATGAAAGTGGACAGAAGTGGAAATGAAATATTTGAACAAATATTACATACAAAATAGAAGAAAAATAGATATAATTATTGCCTAGTATAATATTATTATATATTAAGCAAATTATTATTAAGAATATTAAAATTACTAATTTCATTTTATTCTAATTCAGTGAGTGACTTAGTATTTACAGAATGGATGCTCTATTAACTTAAGCCTTCTTAATCTTGATTTTTAAAACAAATTACTTATTTCACAGTTACCCACTTGATGTAGCAAGAAGAAAAATGCAACTGGGACACATGCTGGCAAACCCCCACCAATTTGGGTAAGTCCTGTAAATGGAATCATCACGGCTTGCTTCATTCAGTCACAAAGTTTAGGTTGGTTAAAATTATAGCCCGAGGTAATCTGCAGGCTGTACTATGTTCTGAGACAAAGTCGAGGACGTAGTACAGCCTCCAGATCACCAAGGGCTATAATTTGAACTATGACCCAATTAAAATTCCAGTAAATATTTGTTGTATTTTAGACGTATTGACTGGCTAGGAGGGCATGGCTGGAACTATTGGCTGGCTACTCTGTTTAAACCAAGCGTGTTTTAAATTTATTTTGTTTCTTTAAAATTCATGTACAAGTACTGTATGTGTATTGTACTATCACGAAAAGAAGCCCATGCTATTTCGAGATGAGCTTCTTTTCTCGAGGCTACTTTTGCAAACTAAAGAGGGGGCTTCAATTTCGAGATGGGCTTCTTCTCGAAGTTAAGCCCATTGGGCTTATATTCAAGGTGCTATGGTATACATAGGATAACTTTTGTTGTGATTTTTATTAGTTTTTTCATCAAAATTGTTAGGGTCTTATACATCATTTACTAATGCTATGATAGTCAGTAGCTATCTGGAAGCTCAGCTGTAAAAACTGCTTTTTGATAGGTTGTTGCCTAGTAACAAAGAGGTGGTATGTGATACTGTGTTAGCATCATAAAAAAAAATTCTTAGTACGGTACATAACTATCTGTGTTTGTTTTTCTAAAGGTCTTGGTTGCAAGTTCTTTTGATAGTGTATCAGCGCCATGGATTTAAAAAAGGTCTTTATCGTGGATTAAGTATCAACTATCTACGAGCTATCCCGTCTGTCTCCGTCTCCTTTACTGTCTACGAATTTATGAAGCAGCTTTTGAATATTCAATCAAAACAAAAAGGCAGTTGATGAAAATTGACCATCCTATATATATACATAATGGACCACATAGCATACTAGTTAAGACTCTAGGCTTGTAGTCTCAGGAACCCAAATTGGTGCAGTCAGCGTTAAACAAGCTTTTCACCTACCATGCTTCCCTCCACTCAGAATTGTATATTGGCAGCTAGTGTGATAAGTAAATATTAAAAAGTGCACAGGACCTTGAAGCACAGTGATTTCCTGTCTTGGATGAAGATGTGATCCATTACCAACCCCATGCAAGTGAGTAAGCGTACAGAATCCTGCAGAGCTACACAAGTGGCTTTCATGTTTCAATCTGATCTGACATTCAACCATACATTGTAATTTATTATGTTACCAAATAATAATGATTGTGTACCATGAAAGTGTTGTACTGTAGAACCACTATGGGCAATTTGGGACCAAAGTAAGTGTCCCTAAAAGGGGTGTCTCCTAAATAGAAGTTATATTTTACAACACTTTTTGGCCAAAACATGTCCCCTTTATAAGGATTTCCCAAACTTGCGTGTGTGTATATTGGGCAAGATTACTGATGTATCACTGACAAGATAACATGAACACTTAATACTGTTTTATAAATATGCTGTAAAAGTAAAACTTTAAAGATGATAAATATTTAAGGATGATATTCCACTCAAGTACCAGTAACTGAAACTATATTGTGTATATGAAATAAAACAGTTTTATGAATAATAGCATACCAATTTTGTCATTGCCAAATTGTACCAATTATTTTAAAGGAAAATTATATCATTTTATGTAGAGTAAGTTCGGGATTACTTAATTGCTAGAGACAGGGGTCCCAATTTGAGAGGTGTCACTTAAGTTGGATCTTGTTTAATTACAAATAATTTTATCAATAATTAAAACACAAGCTAGTTTGGAATCCCTGTAAGGGTGGGTACTTAAATATGGGGTGGTCTGGTGTCTATAAGAAGTAATCAATACATTGTCCTCCCTGCTTGTGGTGGTAAAAAGAATGTTAAATCAGCTTTATCTTTTGAACACTCATTTTGTTTAGTGTTCCCCCCCCCCTAAAAAAAATTGTATTATGATCTTCAGGTTTTGGTGGTATAAATGAGATTAAAGCAGCTTTGGTTCTGTAATTATGTGTGCGTTAAATGTTTCCACCAAATTTTATCACAATTTTATTTTAGGACATTCCCATGGATGAAAATCTATGCAAAGCACAGTATTAAACATGTCTTCAACTTTTTAATTTGTTCTTAAATGTTTAAAGAGCATATAATTGTACTGTAATCAAAGTTTGTCAAGTTGTTTGAATAAAGTGTGTACAAAATCGTAGTATCTTACTGGTTATGAAGTCAAATTATTGCAAGTAATTAATCAGGTTCAATGGTCGCGCCAAAGATTTTATGATGAGGGTCCAACGTCAACCTCAATCCTCCACATGGTTGGCACTGAAGTTTTCAAATTTTAAAATTAGCCACCTCTAGATGCTCAGAAATGACAATGACTGTACAAAGGCTTTTCCAAAGCAGTGTTTTCTGACGAAATTATTGACATGTTCCTGACAGGGGTCCTAGACTTCCCCACACACCCCCCACCCCCCACTTTGGGGCTGTCACTGATCAAGTTTAATGATGCATGCATCTGAACAGACCATTATACCTGTTATTGTGTACAAATTTCAAACCAACTACAGTACAGTAATATCAAAACTCATTAATCTCTTTTAGCCTGCTATAGTGCTACAGAAATTATATAAAGGACATGAGTCAAAATGCAACTTAGTAAGCTACATGAATATGCAGTGTAGAACATTACAACATCCATGAAAATCCATTAAAAATTCAACTACATAATAACAGAAAGAAGTTTATTTAGTGTGTACGGTCTTAGTAATAATGCATAGGCAATTATTATGTCCACGCATAGCATGCAGAATATGTGAAGAATACTGAGGCTAAATTTAATTCTTCAACTGTGTGCTTTTTGTTACTGTAATTTGTATATTGAGCAATTGTTGTATCTTAATGGATGACATTCAATAAAATACAGATCAAAACAATCCGATTTTTTTTTTTTTCCATTAGCGATTTTTGTAGTAGCTAAAAATCTGTAAAACAGTTTTTCCATATGTTTATGTTGGAAGCTAAAACATATTTGATCCTTTTAAATGAGCTATTCAAAATTTTAACTGAATTTTTGATGTTTTTCAGATTTTTATTTAGTTTATTTTATTCTTCACAACCAAACAATTATTGATTCACCCCGGATTACCAGATTTCATTTTATGCAAAAGAGATAATTTATACTGTAGTACCAATAATATTTTTTTGTTTTTTGCTAAAATAAACAAGAAAATATTCCTAGAAAAACACAATTGAGGGAGTAGCCAAGAAACTCCAAGGGCATTATTACATCACTACTCTAGAAATGATAATCGTGACAACAGAGTTATAAATAGAAAGCACGGTAGAGGGCTTGTTGACTTCGAGCGATTCCTCCTGAAGTTAGTAGAAAAAGGTGGCGCGATGGACAACATGGCCGACAGTACGAGTGCTAGCGAGATTGAAAGCGATACAGACAGTATCAAAATGACACCATCCTCAGGTAGTAGGAAAGAGGAATTGTATAATAGAATAAAGTCTCTGGAGCAAGAAAACACCGTGTTAAAAATCGAAGTAGAAACGTACAAGTTGAAGTGCAAATCTCTGCAAGTGGAGAACAAAGAGTTGAAGAAAGCTAGCGTAAACATCGTAAGTCGAGGGACTGGCCCATCTGTAGTCCGTAGCCTCAGTCAGTGATTGATACTGATGGTAGGATGGCCTGGCCGGCTAAGTTTGGTCGATCTAACATGTTATCTAACTCTTTAATAATCTGTATTTTAGATTAACCTATTGGCATAGATTTAAAACTTATATAATACAGTAATCATAATCAATTTCAAAACGAATGTGTGTGTGGGTTGTGTAATTTATTCTAGCCGCCCTAGCTAGATTTCTGCATCCATCTCATCATTATGTTGTGGTACCACCACCACAACTAAGCAATGAGGGTAGCGCCTAGGCTGTTGGCAGTGTTATCAGGGATCATCATAATGATTTTGTACTTTCAATATAGGCCTATATTACTTTGTTGTGGTATTTTATGGTGTAACTGATGACTTATCTATTGTGCCATACTATTGCTGCATAATTTGCATGTGGACATGGTTATTATATTATATATATATGTTTTGGTCAAAACCTAATTTTTGGAAAAATCTGCACAGAAATCGATTGGCCCTTGGGCCTTATATTAAGAAATTCGTGGACAGATTTTTTTTTTTTAGGCCAAATTTGTTCACAGAGGAACTAGGCCTATTCCCTGTGCAGGCCTTACCATACAGTCTGGGCAGGGTGTATGTGATTTTGGCAGAACATCAAACATTTTCATTGCCAAATATCGTTGTACTCAATAGCTTGTGACTATGACTTAAAAAACCTAGGCCAAATCACATATTAAATATGCTGTTCCCAGTTAACAGGATGAATTAAAATGATATTGTAATTTGTTGTAATAATTTTAATTGAAGGCATACACTTAATAGGCCTACAATACGATGACCTTTACCTTTAATGACATTTCTTAAAATCGCAAGTCCATAGTAATACATAGAATAAAATTCACCAAAATAAAACAGTTGTATTTGTTGCTATATCTCATAAATTTTTACCTGCAACAAAAAGAAATATAGCCAAAATATGCACTACATTAAGAATATTCGTAACTACAGGGATCATCATAATGATTTTGTACTTTCAATATAGGCCTATATTACTTTGTTGTGATATTTTATGGTGTAACTGATGACTTATCTATTGTGCCATACTATTGCTGCATAATTTGCATGTGAACATGGTTATTATATTATATATATAAGTTTTGGTCAAAACCTAATTTTTGGCAAAATCTGCACAGAAATCGATTGGTCCTTGGGCCTTATATTAAGAAATTCGTGGACAGATTTTTTTTTTTAGGCCAAATTTGTTCACAGAGGAACTAGGCCTATTCCCTGTGCAGGCCTTACCATACAGTCTGGGCAGGGTGTATGTGATTTTGGCAGAACATCAAACATTTTCATTGCCAAATATTGTTGTACTCAATAGCTTGTGACTATGACTTAAAAAACCTAGGCCAAATCACATATTAAATATGCTGTTCCCAGTTAACAGGATGAATTAAAATGATATTGTAATTTGTTGTAATAATTTTAATTGAAGGCATACACTTAATAGGCCTACAATACGATGACCTTTACCTTTAATGACATTTCTTAAAATCGCAAGTCCATAGTAATACATAGAATAAAATTCACCAAAATAAAACAGTTGTATTTGTTGCTATATCTCATAAATTTTTACCTGCAACAAAAAGAAATATAGCCAAAATATGCACTACATTAAGAATATTCGTAACTACTGGCAGACTGTTGCATTCTGGCGGCCTATATTGAGACATACTGTATAGCCCAAGGCCAGTGATAAATAGTTTGTCATTTAAATCATTTGATTGACAAGTCATTACTGTACCAAGTTTACCATTTCTGCCAGTTTATTATTTGTGCCTGATGATCTACTGTATGATTATTTAAACCATTTCTAATGTAGGTCATCCAGTAAGAGCCTGTTTCCCAGACAAAGTTGTTGTATCCACCATAAAATTAAGTACAGTAAAATAACTGGATTCAAATTTTTATCCAACTTCAAAACAAAAACATTTTCTATCTAGAAATTACTGTTCAGTACAGTCTGTCAACACCTGATAAGGAAATTATTCGTCATTGTTTAACTGACCATGAACATCTTTTAGAATTTTGTCATAGAATTAATCATGCAAGAGTAAATCCACATAAACTTTTGGAGGCTTCTTGCTTTTGTGGTCCCATTTTCATTTCTAGAGAGCTTGTTGTTTCGTATTTGTATCTTCCTGCTTCCTTTATTCTGAGTTACCTCCAGTCAAAATTTTATTTTCAAACAATTAAAAAGCCCAGAAAATCAGGTACAGTAATCCTCATAAATGATGATAATATCTGTAATCCCTCAAAAATGATATTAATATCTAGGATTTTTTTTAAAGAAAGACTAAAGAGAGCGAAAGATTGGTCTTCAAATTACAATTTGACATAAAAAGAGAAAACCATTCTTATGTTGATTTAGTAATAATTGAAATAATATAAGTTGTTTTTAATGTTTAAAAAATGGATATAAAGGTAATTACAATATTTGTAATATGTGATAAATTATACATTTATATCCTTTGAATGCATAACATGATATTAAATATTATAGTTTTACAATACAGTACTGTAGTGCAATATGCCAAGGCTTGTCTATATGCTTTATGTTTTTAACCCCAGTTATTCGATCGAACACCTATGGAACACGTTCTGTTCCCTAAGGGGTTACTCCATAATGTTGCAGCACTAGCAATTATAGCATTGTCATTCAATCTTAGCAGGCACCCATCTATTAAGTAAATATTCTGTTGAAGGAGACAGCAATCATATATAGTGCCATACCCAAGGTCAAAGAGTTCGTCAGACTCGAACTCTCTTAATCTATTTTGATTAGATGCTTAATTTCTTACCCCACTGTTCTACATGCATTCACACATTTATGAATTTGAAGGTTTTAATGTAAAGATATTGATTTTCCCTCATAGCAAGTGCAAGCAGAACAAGAGGAGGAGTTCATTAGTAATACATTACTGAAGAAAATCCAAGTTCTGAAGAAGGAGAAAGAGAAGTTAGCTGTTAATTATGAGCAGGAAGAGGAGTTTCTCACAAATGATCTCTCAAGGAAGCTTACTCAGGTAAGAGACTTGTGCGGATCATTGTACTAATAGCATGACAAACGTTTTTGGGAAAATCAATTTCTCTGATAAAATTGATTTTCTTTATCTGTTCTCGTCTAGCAATCAGTGGCTTATCTATGAGTATTGACATGGTTGGGCTGATGGTGGCTTGAGGGTTAAGTGGGGGCATGAGGGTTAAGTGAGGGGGCTCTAGCTGGGGGTGTAAGGTGATATGAGGTGATCAGATTTATATCTACTTAAGTAAACATTTTTGGCTCAGAAGATTTTTAATAGGAGTCTTGTGATCTAATCAAAAGGATTTTTAATGCTTAAATGTTGCTGATAAATTCATAGTAAAATTAATTCAGGATACTGTTTGTGAGCTGCTAGATGGGTGAAGTTTGCAGAAGTTGGAACAAGATGGTCTCATGATTTCATATTTAGTCATGGGGTGGGTTAGTCATGATTACCAGGCAATTTAAAGTTCTGTTCAATGAATGTACAATGGGAATTTTGGTATTATTTATGAATCTGTTCATTGAAAGTGAAAATATTTCCACATCCTAATTTTCAATTGAAAGTACAGCTTCCTAAATACAAGCAACTCAAATGTTAAGTTTATTGTTTGTTCATTAGCTTAAAAATGAAAGTTTTAAGGAAAGGTTTGGTTCATCATGAATGTTAATTTAGTCTTGAGTCTATTCCTCCAAAAAAAAAAAAAAAAGGCTAAACTTATCCAAGGAGTCCTGTGCCTGTCTCTTATACACATCTAGATGTGTATAAGAGACAGGAGTAAATCCACATAAACTTTTGGAGGCTTCTTGCTTTTGTGGTCCCATTTTCATTTCTAGAGAGCTTGTTGTTTCGTATTTGTATCTTCCTGCTTCCAATGTTAAGTTTATTGTTTGTTCATTAGCTTAAAAAATGAAAGTTTTAAGGAAAGGTTTGGTTCATCATGAATGTTAATTTAGTCTTGAGTCTATTCCTCCAAAAAAAAAAAAAAAGGCTAAACTTATCCAAGGAGTCCTGTGCTGTGCAGACATACCCCCTTGTGCTTTACAAATAAATTTGGCAAATACTGTAAAATATTTAGAAAAATTGAAAGATATTGATAGGTTGGGATAAGTTTAACATCCCTCAAGATTAGTTCTTTAAGGGCGTTATTGATATTGGTAATATAATATTTAATTGATTTGATGGTAATTGACATTACTGATTCAAATTTACATGTAGAATGGATTTACTGATACCGTACCATAATGTGTGAACATAGAGTTTATTATGCACAGTACCAGAAGATGATGATGAATCATATTATCATATATTTCACCTTTATGAAAACAATAGAAAGTAATTCATTGAGGCAGGATTAGCTAAATGTTATAAATGAATAACAGTCAAGAGGCTCTTCAACCTGCTGGCATACTTTAAATGGCATCAAATATGTTGCACTGTTATGGTTTTGGTGCTTATTCTTTTCTTTGCTGTCCATCTGTTACACCCTGATAACAGTGACACAATGTGATGTAAAATTTATCAGTTTTACTCCATCCATTAGAGTAGAGTTGTGTAGTGGTTAACATGCCTACCTCAAATCCCAGGGGCTTGGGTTCAACTCCTATGACAATGAAATAAACAACTCCACTCTCTATAGCCTAAGTTTGTCTATCAATATTAATCACTGTTACATCCTGTGTAATTGGTGAGTTACTTGTAAGTTGCTGTTGGAACCAGAAGAAATTTTTAAATGATTTTTTAAATATCTATGCTTTTCTCTAACTCAGTGTTTTACCCTTTTCTCCATGTTTTTAGAAATGAGTAGTAATTCATTCCTCCTAATGTTTCTCCTAATATATTGAGATTAGTATCTATTATTTAAACCCAGATGACCTCTCTCTGTTGTTAAATAGCTTAATAAAACATCTTAAGTTTATACTTACCAGTAACTGTTTGTCATTTCTTCATGTAGCTTCGCCAAGAGAAAGCTCAACTGGAACAGACCTTAGAGCAAGAGCAAGAATACCAGGTCAACAAACTCATGAGGAAGATTGATAAATTAGAGAGTGAAACAGGGTCAAAACAAAGGAAATTAGAAGAGGTACATTGTAGAAGTTTAATTACCAAAACGCAAGTTGCTTTAAGGAAAATATTAATTTGCAGCAAAGAGTATTTATGACAGGTTGTACACAGTGATGGCTTCAAGTCCAAAGGAAGTCCGAAACAAAATGTCGCATGTGGTGTCCTTTTTATGGGTGAATTCCTTTTGCTACAGTGGGTTTAGTGTATGGTGAAAGTGTCCTATTAGGCCATGTTTTGTACAAAACTGCAGTCACATGAAATTAGTTTAATGGATTGCCAGGTAGTCATTCTTAGTCAAACAACCTCAAGTGGTGTCTGATGACAAGTGCATCTATGCTTGTCAGACAGAGACTTGACTGATGCCACCACTAGCTATAAATTTTGTATGATTGTTGTTTCTACTAATAGTAATACGTAATAAGAGAGTGATTTGATTTTGATCGATAAAGATGGATGTATTATTTGATAAATTTGCCAATATTTGCAAAATCAAAAATTAATATACATCTATAAAAAAAAATTTCATATTTTTGAAAAAAATTGGTTGAAATATATAGTGGTTGCCTTATCAAACAATTCACTAATCATTATACAAATTTACTATGTCTTTTTTTTTTTCTTGGTGAAGCTTCGTCGTGAGAAAGTAGATCTTGAGAATGCACTTGAACAAGAACAAGAAGCCCTAGTGAATCGTCTCTGGAAGAGAATGGATCGACTAGAAGCAGAAAAAAGGTTAGGAGAAAACTAACATATTTTACATAACTTAAATGGTTTAATTGTTTTGCATTCAAACAATTGTTTCAAGTTTTCACATAAATGGAGTTGCATGCTGTACTGCTTATGGGAACCATAACATGGTTAAGTGATCTGCTTAGAGACATCTCAAATATTTGCTGAATAAGGCCATGTTGAGACGTTTGAGTTTCAATAGACAATAATGCGGTTTCATTGTGTCCAAAATACACTTCAAACTGTCACTCAAAGTCTAACTTCAAATTACAATATAATTATAGATTTAATAAATGCATTTTATATACTTGTTATAGTATAAATTTACAAATAAAAACCGGTTATAACTGGATTATACAATGAATAAATGTCAATTTTAATATGAAAGAAATTACATAAATCATTGCGGTTCCATGCATTATGTGTTTTGGGATGAAGAACAGAAAAAAAAATACCATGTAGTGAAGAAGACTGATGCGTCTGTTTCAGGAAAATCAGTAGTGAGACAGAAATAAACCAAAAACAACAGACAAATCTGCAGCAGTGAATAAGTAAATATTATTAAAAGTAGTCTTATGCAAATTAATTATGAGTATGGCTTTGAAACACCAGCTGACTGTTTATTATACACCAGCCGTGCTCCCTAATTTGCATATTAACAACTTCCTGCAAATACTTGATTATACAGTCTTGATTATTACATTGTTTATTCCCTCCGATTACATGCACTTTGTGTTTCTATAAATATGCTCAAAATTCAAGAGTGTTTACTTTACTTGTGTTACATCTGCATATAAAAACCACACATATTCATTTGTTTGAGCTGTTTTGACCATGTAACAAAACATTTTTAATGTTGCGCTTGAACAGATGAACAGATTGAGCACGCTGCACAGCGCAGTGTTTGGGCGATTTCATCATACGAAAAGGGTATAAAAATTCACTTTTTTTAAACGATCAGTCGTTAGTGAAACACTATTAAAAATACGTTCCCAATTTATGCATAACACTAGAAATAATGTATGTCCACTGTCAAGCATATTCATTTAATTAATTTTAACAAGTCTGTGATACAGAAGCTACCATATTTTCTTCAGTTCAGAAAATGGAACATGCCAATTCCCTTAGACCGGCTTTGAGCCCGGGCAGTTTTTCTTATTTTTATTCAATCAGATTGATTTTTATATATAGTATAAATGATCACAAGAAAATTTTCTTTTTGTTGCCGCTTCAGGCCAAGCGATCGGATTAGTGTAGGTAAAGTTATGACGTAAAGAAACGACTCCTCATAAGCCAGCTCAAATCCTGCTGAAAACACACTAATATCACCTATACTTTCCTAATTCAACTCAAAAATGATGGGGCAAAATATTTGAAAAAATTATTTAGTAAATTGTTTGCAGTAGCTATATTTATAACGTTATATAAACAATTTCAACCTAATTTATCCAACCTCAAGTTTTTAAGTTACGGTTTTTGTAGTAAAAACAGTTAATGTTTTTGAAGAAGTGCTAATGGTTAAGAGATTTTCACGGTTTGCAGTAAAGTGGACTAAACGAAATTGATATATAGTTCAGTAACATACATTGTGATTTTTATGAAATAGAAACACTGGTAGCACTTTATAGACCAAGTTCATTATTTAATATGCAACCTTTCGCCTGCAGCCTTTGTTGACTTCACCATTTTATCTGATTATAAATTACAAATAACTAAAAATAGTACATTAAATTTTTGTGTTGTAAATTGTGTTTTTTTTTTTTTTAGAATATTGCAAGAAAAATTGGATGAGCCAGTATCAGCACCCCCCTCCCCTCGTGAGATTAAGAATGGGGACACGTCCCAGGTCCTTAGTATTCATGTCCAGATGCTACGTCAAGAGGTAGTGAGGCTACGACGACAGCTTACCATGACCCAGATGGAAAGTAAGTGTTTATGTTTGAATAAACCGAAATGCCAATGTACAAAAAGCAAAAGTGAAAGAACAGCACAGTCAAGTACGTAAATGGTGACGAATAGAAATGGTAAACTAAGTGTGCGTCTGCTGAAAAATGAGGTCTATGCCTAAATGAAACTACATTGTATAAAACCTTAAAGGTACCCTGTTGTAATATTTTTGTGCACAGATAGCGAGCAGTGTGTATACGCTGCCAAAGAGTAGAAAATCAAAATGTCCGTCTGCCAAGGCTTTCTTGAAAGGCGTTCATATCAAACGGGTGCTGCATCTATTAAATGCATGTTTGAGTTTTAAACTCTATTCAAATTCTAATAGGGCACCCCCATCTCATGGTAGTACTTCGCTTTTTGTTTCATGGCGTGCATGCAAAATACACTGCTTAGTATGTGTGACAAAAATGGCTTCCTGTCATTTTCAACTACAATAAACCATCGGTAATTATAGTTACATTCAACGTACAAGTGTATTCAATAATTGTTGTGTACAGACTCCAGTTTATAACAATTTTATTAATGTTTTTGTGTCACAGAATCAGAACAAATGGCCCATTTGATACAAGAAGAGAAAGGTGTTAAAGAGGAAAACATTCGCCTCCAACGACGACTTCTCCTGGAACAGGAACGTAGAGAGGCGTTAAGCCGCCACCTGTCAGAGAGTGAGTCTAGTCTGGAGATGGATGATGAACGGCATTTCAACGAGATGACAGCTCATGGTCTCCGTCCAAGAACCATCTCAAGCCCAATCCCGTACTCACCCAATACTAACAGACCCACGTCACCTGGTAAGTTCAGAAAATATTTTATTTTCAAATGTAAAAAAAGGAGATGCTTGTATTTCTAAATTGCACACACCACCACAGTACACAAGCAAATTGCAGTATGTGCTTGGAATTAGTAAACTTAAAGCCTTGTTAATATTTACTGGTTTGTAGCTTAGAAAACTAGGAGTGGGTGATAGACATTTTAAGGCTGGGTAGGTGATAACATTAATAAACTCTAAATAATAAGAGTGGACTTTGAGGGATGGAAAAGTGGGTGGGTGGAGGGCCATCAAATTTGCTTTACATTGGGTGGAAAACTTCAAGGCTGGGTTGCCCCACCCACTATAACTACATCCCTTATTATTTATACAACTCATGCGATTGATGTGAGTACTTCCAGCACTGAGGGAGTAAGGAACAATGGATTTGCAAGCAATTTCCCAGGGTTCCTGAATAGTAGCCTTGTAGATATTCTCAATTTTATCATCAAAAAGGGTAAAAAAACTACATCCCCATGTACAGTAATTGCTGAAAAGTACATTCCTTATTTCAGAGTTAACGTACATAAAATTTGCACTAAACTTAACTCAACTTAAATCTCATTTGAGGCTTGGAGAATAGTTATAGGAGTTATGAAATGAGAAAATTTTTCTCTCCCTCAGTTTTCCCACAACATGTGTGTATATACTTGAACTTAGCAATGTCTGGCTCACTGTTTGCATGTCAAACATTACTATTGTTGTATGCATAACAAACTAACCTTTGACATGGCACTAGTTTCTAAAGATTCAATTTGCTTTGATATATAATAATATAGACATGGCTTTATAATACATTGATGAAAAGTACTTCAGCATTCATAATACAATAGTTATTATGTTTATATTTTTGTGCCTTAAGCACGTGAATGGATGAGAAATACTGGCATTGGTGTGACCTAAATTTATCTGACTTTATTATACATGTATTGCAAATGATATTTAACGTTAATAAGTTTTATAGGTTATTAAATTAAACTACTACTACTATTTCATTAATGTAATCAATAGTGTTTGTAAGTCAAATCAGTTAAGTTAAAGACAAAATCCAAGTTATAGACAATGCAAATTAAAAAAAAGTTATGTTTATTTTATTATATTATTATTAGTTTTTTCAAGTATATTTTATTTAATTCTTAAATTTTACGACCCTACCCTACCTAGAGACCTAGGGCCTAGGCCCAGCCCGAAAAAGTACACCGATCCCGCCGCCAGGCAGTATCATAAGCATGTGGTGAAAACAAGGGTGAATTTTCTAACTTCTTAAATTTCGTGATTTCTTCGTTGCTGGCCTTGAAGCAAAAAAATCGGTTATCCTTTCTCAGCGCTTCATCCTCCTCCTAGGCTATTTTTGGCGTGTCGCACGTCCTCGATCCCAGAGAAATGAAAAATGTCGAGCGCCCAAACTTTTGTGATGACGTCGTGCCAAAGTAAATAAACTACGGAGCACGCGACTGGTCAAATAGCTTAGGCAACAAACCTCTCATTAATATTCATTTTGAAGTCTTGCTGGTTACGTCATTCAGTTAGCTGCAGCTTTGTTTTGATTTTTACGATCGGACTACGATCGATAGCGACAAATAAACAGTGCCAAAAATGCTCCTATTTTGTAATAAATTGCACTATTTTGGAAACGGGGGATCGTTTTCTGGTTAAGGGGGTTCGCTGGCAAAAGGGGGGTTCGCTGAAAAAGGGGGGTTCGCCCGAACCCTTAAAAACCCCCCTGGCTACGGGCCTGAAATCTACATCCCCTAGTACAGTAATTGCTGAAAAGTACATTCCTTATTTCAGAGTTAACGTACATAAAATTTGCCATAAACTTAACTCAACTTAAATCTCATTTGAGGCTTGGAGAATAGTTATAGGAGTTATGAAATGAGGAAATTTTTCTCTCCCTCAGTTTTCCCACAACATGTGTGTATATACTTGAACTTAGCAATGTCTGGCTCACTGTTTGCATGTCAAACATTACTATTGTTGTATGCATAACAAACTAACCTTTGACATGGCACTAGTTTCTAAAGATTCAATTTGCTTTGATATATAATAATATAGACATGGCTTTATAATACATTGATGAAAAGTACTTCAGCATTCATAATACAATAGTTATTATGTTTATATTTTTGTACCTTAAGCATGTGAATGGATGAGAAATACTGAGGCATTGGTGTGACCTAAATTTATCTGACTTTATACATGTATTGCAAATGATATTTAATGTTAATAAGTTTTATAGGTTATTAAATTAAACTACTACTAATATTTCATTAATGTAATCAATAGTGTTTGTAAGTCAAATCAGTTATGTTAAAGACAAAATCCAATTTATAGACAATGCAAATTAAATAAAGTTATGTTTATTTTAATATATTATTATTAGTTTTTTTATATTTTATTTAATTCTTAAATTTTTTAATTTTCAGCAATGCATGCCTTTTCCCCTCCCTCTCCAGCCAGTAGAAGTACCCCAGCGCCAGGGGGCAGTACACCATCTCCAATGTCATTTGGAACTTCACCACCTATCACAAGCCACCTGGTGAGTACGGTTTAAACACCTGGGCGGGCTATCATATAAATATTTCATAAGTCTGACTCATAAGAGACAAATGTGTTTTGGTAGGATGTATGCTAGAGAGGTTTTAAGCAGATGTCCACTGTTGCATCACATTTGTGTAACTTCCATGAAAAAAAAAAATCTGAGATATTTAACATGGATCTCTGCACATACTCAGTGGCATAGCCTATCTTTGCCTCTCTTTGGCTTATCTTCACTGTCCAGTGGCATATCTAGGGGATGATACTCCCCCCCCCCAAGTCTTGTCCCCACTTCCAAAATCTGTCCGAGTAGTTAAAAATCACCTGATTTTGAGAGCTAGTGTTCGTCACCTAATCTTTGAGCCCACCTGACCTTTGTACCACATATGACCTTTGCACTCCATCATCCCCCATTTCCAGACTCCTACTGTAGATATGCTACTGTCACTGTCTACTAATTTAACTCTTTCACATAAAATTTATTTGATAACCATAGGGGTCCATAATATAACAAAAAAAATTTTCTGAGAACTTGACACTTTGAAATTAGCAAATTCTATTTTTGATTTTTTATACAGAGACATAGAGCAGCAAGCACTACCCCAGAGAGGTTTGTGAAGCCCCAGGCACCACCGCAATCTTAAAAGTACACGTCTGTCGTCATTTAAACCTACTAACAGTTACCATGGTGACAAGATTTGATGTTAAATTTCAAGGTGTTGTCAACATGCTTTGGAAGATGTTTGTACACGCCTACAGCAGAAGGTTTTGATATAAGATTGCCTGGCTATCGATTCTGCTGACGTAAATTAATGAATATTCACCGTCTGCAAATTTGTAACTCAAGATTGCAGCAGACTATAATTAACATTTGTTAACTCCATGCATAATTATAGAATGAAAGATTCCCAGAATTATTACTAATTGTGCTGTTTCATTAACGATAACTACATAACATCAAGACATTTTCACATTCACTGTTGAAAGTTAATTAGTAATTAATTAATTATCCACTTGATATGGTTGTCATTAAAAGAAATGTCATACAGGATTACTGTCTATGAGCAGTGGCTATAAAGTGTTTTTTGTTTTTTTTATGAATGCAAAATTTTGGCAATGACTCAGCTGGTTTAAAGAGGCTTACCTTATAGTACATGAATGGTATTCATGTCTGTCTGTATATTGGACTATCATTAATGTCATCCGCCTCAAATTATGGCTTTTTTTTTAAGGATAAACCCATACTTTAGTATATCTGGAGAGATAGACATTCTCATCACCTGCTATCTAACTACTGGTGCTATACTAACAAATATATATTAGTTAGTTGTGCAAGTATCAATTAATTGATATCATGTTTTATGTGCTTCAACCTCTACCTGTTGGTGCCAAGACTTTGAATTGATTAACAGACTTGCTTTAAATGATGTCATAAATATGTCTTTAAAAAATGATGAAATCATTTTTCGTTAGAAGAGTCCTTTTTATTGTTTTTCATGTGAATTCTTTATGTATGTTCTAATGACGCCAATGGCAAGAAACTATCCTTTAAGAAATTGATGTCAAAGCTTGAATATTGATTGTAAATTTCAGTTTAGTTATTCAGCTTCAAAAAATGTTGTGTTGAAGGTTGTGAATAGTCCTCTTCTAGATGGTAAACTACTAGTACAAGCATTAGTGAATTATAAAGTCTACCCAGTGCTAATAATCATAGAAAACCACTCATGCTACTTCCAACCCATAGGATTTCCATTGCCTATGTGTCCCCCTGTTTTCAGGTCTCTACATTTTGTTATCTGGTAAGAGAAATGTAATTTCAAAAATGGAGAATGAAAAACAATGAGGTACAGTATTCATGTTGCCACACAAGAAAAGATTTGAAAATGTTGATATAATTCATTTTAAAGTTTTTAAAAGCCTTGGGATCCATTTTATGGAACTACAATTAAAATAATCGCCTTTATAAGCTTCTTTTTTTAGAATGAAGGATTAGAAGTGACATTTTTTTAATACCTTTGTTGTATTCTGCTCCAAAGCTATGTATTTGAAAAAGGAAAGTTTGGTACTAAAAGTACAGTACTGAGTTTTACATTATACAGTACATTGATTTTAATGCTCTACTTACTTTACATCTTGTTGGACAACATGATTGAAATCTACAGTCCCCCAATATGATGTCATAGTTGACCAATTGTAGGATGGAAAGAGCTGGATGTTCATTTTCAGCAGGCAAAAACTGATTACTATATCAATTCATGCAAATGTATTAGTCCTTGAATATTTACTTTTGGTGTATGGAAGGCAAATGCCAACAAAATTGTTTTTGTAACTACTGAACATTTTTACAGTGTTTGCCTTCCATAGTGTTGCACGTAGCAGTTTAGAAAATAGTGTGGATAATAAGGACTTGAAAGTTGGTCTAAATGTATAAATAACAGAAATATAAAGAGATGTATACTGCAGAAAATGTGGTACTATAAAAGAGACATGTATAGATTATTTGTTTTGTTTTGTTGTAAATTTATATTTTTTTATTTATCATCATTAAGGTTTGAATACTGTTTTGTGTTTCAAAATAGCATATGAATGATTGAATACCAAACATAATGAATAAAAGTTATAATAATTATTTACAGTCAATACTGTATAGTATTTGATACCAGAAGATAAAAATTCAATTAATATTGGTAATTACAGTAGTGCATTATTGATTGTACATGTGTTGTTCTACACGTAGTTTTATGTCTTTATAGTTTGTATTCTTCTGTTTTACCAATTTCTTTCCCTATTTTTATCAGCTGATGTTTCATTTTACCATGCTTGGCTATAACATTAAACATTCATGTTTAAACCTCCGATATTTTAGTTGTATTTTATTAAATTCTCTTTTCACAAACCTAATACTTTTTCAACTGTTCTCTCAATGATACAGGCTAATATTTACATTTTGATATTATTATGGTACAATATAAAATAAATACAGGAATTTATAAAGTGACTCATCTGCAAAATAATAATGGTATAATAATGGTATGATGACAAAAACATCAAATAGACCTTGTACCTATGCAATGGCCAAATATCAATGTTTAAATGATAACTATTTGAGGAGACTGCTGCTCTGACAACCAGAACTCTTTGCAATGACAATTAGGCCATGTTTCCACAGCATTTGTTATCTGATAAATTATCAGAAAGCAGCCATTTTGTTATTTTTTGCTGCGCGAACGAGGCTCAAAGTTTCCAATAAATGTTTGTATGAGAATCAGACAATTTATTGGAAAAAGCTCTGAATGCGAAAATAAAGAACCATTCAGAGCTTTTTCCAATAAATTGTCTGATTCTCATACAAACATTTATTGAAAACTTTGAGCCTCGTTCGCGCAGCAAAAAATAACAAAATGGCTGCTTTCTGATAATTTATCAGATAACAAATGCTGTGGAAACATGGCCTAATTGTCATTGCAAAGAGTTCTGGTTGACTCCTAACCAGGAGTAATGAGATTTTGATAAATATTTAAAATCTCATAATGGTATTAATTGGAAGATTAGCCCTGCATTTGGCTCCGCTTTTAGCCAGCTAGATGCAATATCAAGACCATAAAAAGCAGCAAAAAGTATGAATTCCGAAGGTGAAACAGGGGGTAGTCTTATACGCCCGACATACAAAAATTGTCAAAATATCAAATATCTCAGTAAACAAAAAATTTGTGATTGTCATTTGAGGGTCACTTGAGATTCATAGAACCCATTTCGTTAACAGTTTGATCTGCCTCTCCATCTAAGACTGTACTGGAAGTTAGGGTTGCAATATTCCTGATTGCCCCATTGTCCCAGAGGTACCACCATAGCACTCGCGTTATCATCGCTTCCAAACTGCATTGCCTGGTCTACGATGAAGTGAGCTGCCTCGCGGGGGTCATCGACCTGGTTGATCGCATCGCATATCTCTTGATCCGTCATCACAAAATGTACTCCATCGGTTGTGAAAATTAAGAAACTATCTTTGCTGTGTTTGATCTAAAAAGAAAGAAAAATAACTTTTCATATTGTCTTTATATTGCTGCACACCATGTGACTACTATTATTATTATTATACTTTGCCAGTGTAAAGTGGGTACATGGTAAGTTTGAATGCTATGTTGTAACTGAGGGAACGGGGATGTGAGCTATTTTTAAGGAGGTATGCACTGCCACTGTAACTGGTATTTTTCATCAAAGATAAGAATCTATAACAAGCCTAAAGGCATACTGCACATACCTCCACTGACTTTGTCTGTGGGACAGCAGTCACTCCATACCGTTTCAAAGGTGTGTCTCCAATACTCCTGCTCATTGTTAATATGCCATTCACAAGTGGCCTACCAATGCTGTCACAACTGAAAACGAATATGGTATTGTAAACACAAATGACACAATCAAGTTAGGCCATGTTAAATGGTGACAGGCCCTTGCAAATTCCTTACCTGATGAATCCACCTGATGCTTTTATTCGCTGCTGTTCCTCAGGCACCTCCGGCTCGTGGTCCTTGCTCAAGCGAATGGCTTTGCCTTTACGACATAACGTTAACCGTGTATCACCAACGTGGCTTAACACAAGCTCATTTCCATTGCGTAGCAAACCAACAGTTGCAGTTGTACCAGAGTTAGATGACGGATCTAGAAAGTCAAAATTTGCCGATAATTAATCATTACTGTAATTCTAATGTTCTTGGTTTCCCAACCTTTGGCAGAATTTTAATCCCAAGTACACATGTGAAATAACATTTCATTTGTGTACTTCAGTAAGAGCACACTTTATCTACATTGCTTCAGTCTACCCAGCTGTATCAAATCTGATAGAGCTATAACTTAACTTAATATTGAATTACATTTTTCAAGTTTATTAAACAAGTAAAGACGGGCACACACTGGCTGACAAATTCATCTCCACTGTCTGCTGTTTGTCAGTCACAGTACAACCAGATCGTCACAAGCCCGTAGCCACAGGTTCAGGGGGTTCAAAAGAACACCCTTTTCCAGAAATGCCCATTTAATTTATCATTAAAAAGTATCATTTGCATGAAAGTTGTTGAAATGAAATTTGGCAAGGTGTTATATCTTTACAATTTACCCCAACCATGGAGGGGCTGAGATAGGTGTAAAAACTCAAAGTGCCTTTTTGTGAAGAATTAGAACTCCCCTTTAGAAATCCTGCCTACAGGCTTGCGTCATTAAAAACAATCCTTTGTGTGCGCATCATCTCATTGCATTCTCTATGGAGTCAAGTTGACCTACTGCACAACCATCCATGCAGTGTGAGTCTAGCTTAAGAATTACTTCCTGAAAAATGCTTATCCAAACTATCAAAGTGACAAATATCTGTGACCTGCCCAAAAACATGTGAAATGCCTAAATATGGTCATGACGACATCACATCATGACCATATATAGGCACGTCATGACTAAATATGGGCATACAACATTTTTTTGTCAAAGAATGTTTGATAGTGTGGACAAAGCTTATGGAGCTGGTATACTAACTTTCACTCTCCAAAATGAGATGTCTCATAAACTTATTATTGAGGTCAATATATGCGTTTCTTAGGACAACCTGCAAATCAGGTTCCCTTGAGAGCCAATAAGCAATGTGGTGTTCTAAATTATTGTGAGTATAGTCTGCTGCCAACGTGCCACCATGCCCATCAAATATCCCAAAGTACAAAAGGTTTGGCTGTAGTTCATGAATTCGAATTCTGTCCTCATTAACGCTTTTTCTCCCATCCGATGAGGCATACCCGACCATTTCAAGAGAGATTTTCGGAATCGGTATTCCATGCTTTATGCTTTGCTGCAATAAAATTGGTTCTTCAATCCTGTTTTCCCATACTCCAAAGTCTTTTGAATTAATACAATGACTCGGTTCCTGACTCTGTTCCCGGGCCCAGAGGTTTTCTTCAGATAGTAATCGTGCAAATTTTGAGAAACTCCTCCTGGATGCTCTTAGAATAGAACACAGCATTTTTCTTGTCCAATTTGTATCTAAATGAAAGAAATTTAAGGTCACTATACAAATTTTACAATTTACAAATCCTGTAAAAACATGCACACACATTTTTTTGACAATGAACCAGCCAAATCAACATCATTCACAAATGCCACGTTAGTAAGGGCCTAGGCCTAGTAGTAGCAATAATGCTCAATAAAAAATTGATTAGTTAATCACCCCTGCCTGCATGTCTTTTATGTCATGGATCATGTATTTAGAATTTAAAACACTTTGGAAAACATTTTTTTTTAGTAAATAGTATATTTCTATCATGTATTTTACTTTACTGTAGGCGCTAGCTCTCTACCTAGGCTGACCAGAAAAACCAGGGAAAAAAATGGATTTAATTATCACTGACAATACTCATCCACTAAATAAGTATATAAATTTTAATAGGACTACTAGGCCTAGGCCTAGATCAGGTAGGATTTGCCAACCTTGTGTGAAAACAAACAGATGTAAAAACTCATTCTTGCCTTATGTCTGTCATCTATTAATAACAAAGTATTCACAAGACGGGATAGTCTTGTATCTTTTATTCGGTCTTTTATATTTTAACTCATTTACATTTAGACTTATGCGGCCCTATGCCCAGGCCTAGGCCTAGTAGGTAGGCATATCCTAGCCTAGCCTAGTTGTGTGAGTACATTTGTTGTAAGCAGACGCTTAATTTGGCCTAGCAGCCTAGCCTAAGGGCCTAGACTAGGCCTCCTGGTTAGGTTAGGGCAGGCCCACCCCAGCCTAGTTTACTTACCAAAAAAAATAAATGTACACTTGACCAGCCCTGGCGCAGATTTATACGTGTGAGCTCGAGGATGTAACACTGTTCGGACGCCTGCGATGCTAAAATACCATTTTGAATAGCTAACATAGGTCAACTCCGGTTTCATCGCGGTAACTTTCCATCACACATTTTTCGTTTTCCCTCGGTCTCCTATCCTATTATTTTTGTTTCGGGTTTCTTTTGTTATTGTGAAGAGCGCCATCATTAGTCTATAGGAAGCAGCAATACCTAGCTACACTTTGTTTTTTCCATGGAGAACCAGTAAATTTTTTCCCAGCCTCAGTGTACTTATTTTTTGCCGATTTCAGGATCAAAATGTTCTTATTTAATTTTGTTCTTATTTTTACACACTTTCAAACATACATTATTATTTACAGTAGTATAATACTGTACTGTTAATAGAGGATACGTAGGCACAACACTGTTTAAACTAAAACAATAGGTACAAAAAAAAGATTTGTTGGTTTTTCGATTAAAAAAATAAAAACCTCATTTCGACATTTTACCTCATCCTCAATTGATTTCAGCCTCAGTATTTTTATAAAATGTGTTCATGTATATATATATAAAAAAAAAAAGCGCATTAATTAAGGCCTATGACACACACGTAGAGAAAACTAGTGTGTTTATGGGACGTGAGCGTATAATATTGGCCCTAACAATAACGCTCTTTGTTTGGTCTGCTGTTAAGTTTAATGGAAACTCCGGGAAATGTTCTCCAAAACTGTGATAGAAACACAAATGGACAGTTCCGATAAGAACGCCTCTTGGTCTCAACCATCACCATTGTACTGATGATGAGATCCCACAACACGAGACTACTCTGCTAGATAGATAGATAGATATTTATTGGATATCACTTTTTAAACAGCGGCACACGTTAGACAATACCTAACGGTGCATCCAAAATAACAACTTTTTACAAAATGTAACCAAAAAAAATATATATATATATAAATTATGTCAACAAAAATATATATAAAAGGAAATTAACATACAGTATATGCACACATGCTGACGTGTTTCAACCATCTGTTGACGCGAGTTGACGGGATGTGACACCAATAACAACTCTGTGGATGCCAGGATATGACTGATTTGTTGCATTTGGAAAAAAAATACTGCTCTCGCGTCATCATGATCGTAGTATGATTTCAAAGAACCTGCAACAATTATGGTAATAAACACTAAGTATAGACAAGATAGAAAGAAGAACATTAGAAAGGTTAGGCCTAGTTAGTTTGAAAGAAAAGGGCCAGGCCCTAGCTAGGTGGTTTCCCCATGTCATGAAGCGCAGTGACACTACTACAGTGAGTGCCGTACTACACTGATGATGGCTTATTATATTAATATTATTATTAGGCTAGGCTTAGCCTAGTCCTGTAGTCTAGTAGTAGTAGGACATGGGTGAGCCTAGTCTAGCTAATTCTAGGTCAGATCTACCCTAGGTATGCTAAGCTACATACAGGATAGCAGTACTATTTCGTTCGTTCTAATTGCTGATTGCTAAAAAAAAATGATAGATTTTAGTTAGTACCTGCAGACTGCATATTATTTTTTAAAAATTAAAATATTGTATTGAACAATATAGGCCTAGGCTCTAGGCCTAATTTTGTATTAATTAGAAGTTAAATTTAGGCCAACACAACAGGCCTATAGGCCTAGACCTATAGGCCTAGGCCTATATCTGTATATCAAGGGTTTCTGGACAAAACGGCAATAAACCAAAATGGCATTAAGTCTAAAAGGCAAGGACCAAAACTGCAACACTTTTTGACCAGAACGGCAATAGTCCAAAACGGCAATAAATCAAAACGGCAAGACCAAAACGATGCTTAACAACTTATGTCATAAAAGTAAAAACGTGAAAAAATAAACTAAACTGTAATTATAAACATGAAAGTGTACTACGATCAAATATGGTAAAAATTAGGCTAAATAGCAGTCAGCAGCAGCAATAATATCATTAATAGTAATAATAATAATAATAATAATAAAAATAATAAAAATAATCATACAAATTCAATATTAAAAAGATGGTGGGGTGGGGGTGAACAATATAAAAGTAGTAAAATATTTAAACAAATAAAACTTTCAAATACAGACAAAATGAGGCTAAACATTTTACGTCATAAAAGTAAAAAAAATGCGAAATAATAATAAACATTGAAAGTGGGAAAAAGAGCCCATGGCTATATTCGATTTGCCTGTTGGGACAATTTCAAAACGATTCAAATAATTTAAAACTGTGGCTCACGCCCGGTGGCGCTTCTAGTCTTGGCATTTATTTCGCTTCTTTGACATTTTGGTCTATGCCATTTTGGTCATTGCTGTTTTGGTCTGTTGCCATTTCAGTACTTGTCATTGCCATTTTGGTTCATTGCTGTTTTGGTTATTGCCATTTTGGTTTATTACCATTTTGACTTGCTACCATATGAAATGTTTAGATAAAAATACACGGTATTTTGTACGCATTTTGTATCCAGTGAGCTGTGGCTCCAGAAATGTTCAGACCGACAGGGGATCCAAAAAATATGACGACAAGGGTCTAGACAAAGGACCTACTTCGTGCTGCGGACAGTACGGGGTAAATCCACTGGTGGAGTATAGGAGATTTTATTGGTTAAATTGGTAAAAATTGTGTTTGCGACCACGATAATAGGAACTGCAATTGGCTTAAATGCTCATTATTAATCATAATTATTTTTACTGTTCAGTCCCTGAATACAAGCAAGGCAATACCTTAATTCTGCCTTCTGATCTTACATAGAAATTGTTACTGAAGTGAAAGATATTTGATGCAATGGTTGTTAGTATCGAGGATTGAAATAATTGGCTAGTCGTGACATCTTTTGCTGCTGCTGTCATATCTGGAGTAATGATTTTAAGTTGTGTCAGCTGCAAATGCTGGTAAATAGCTTCTTTTTTTTCTCTCTCTAATCTTACTGCAAACCTATTCAATATATAATAATATTTATTTCATTTTAAGCATAAAGGCCAAGGATATACTATTTAGTTAACTTAATCACTTTCTAAGTGGTAACCCCTTTCATCAAAAATGCTCTCATAAAATCATTACAATGCTTAAGTATAGAATCTTTGTCTGGAATCATAACCACCAAGCTACAGGTCTAACCTTATTCCTTTTCTCATACAACAACCTATTATGTATTTGTTTATTTAGGCACAGGTTTTTTAGTTATTAAGGACCTTTTTGATTTAAATGTTGGGATTTTCATGTTTAATCTAAATTGTGGGGGAATTCCATCTGCTCTGGCAATTCGCTTTACTCAGAATTCAAATATTCATTCATATTCCACCTGTCAAGCTTCTTCATTTCATATTCCAGACTTAACTAAAAGACAAAACACTGTTTTTCACTGTCGACCTAAATACTGTCTTTCCTTGCCTAAAACAATTAAATCTGCTACTCACCTCAACCAATTTAAAACTAAGCTAAAAAATCATATTGAAAAATATTGCTGTGTATAAATAATAATAATAATAATGATATTGATAATGATAATAATAATAATAATGATAATTAAGTATGTTAGGATAAAAATAATGATAATAATCATAATCATAACTATGTTAAATATTTCAACTAGTCTATAAAGTGCTACCGTTTTCTTATTGTTTAAGTATGTTATGATAGATATGTTTCATGACAACATGGCCCAAAGCGCTCCTTATTCCATTCATCTTTTGAATTTGTCCAATACTCCCAGGCTTCTTGGCTTGCTTGTTTGTTCTGTGCATTGTTTTGCCTGTTCTTGAGTAATTTCTGAATTTATTTATTTATTTTTTTTTTTATTATTATTATTATTATTATTACTTTAAGTTTTAAGTTTAATTTAAATAATTAAGATTAGTCCGGGAGCCTAATTACAGGCCTTAGCCTCCTTGGTTCCCGGCACTTGTTTGCAGGCCTGTAGTAGTTAAGCGAACGAGTGAATAAAGTGACTAACTGGAGTAACTGGTGTACAGTGACTAACTGGAATCTTTAATATTAAATATATTGATATTTATTTAAAATTTGTGACAGTGTAATTGTTTATCTCAAGAAATAATAAAAGAACGTAACATATTTTTAAAAGTTTTTGTTAAAATGCATTAGAAAATATCATTTTACAGTAAAATGAACGTGTTTGTTAATTCCAGGAGGCGTTTCATGAAGAAGGATATAACAGATGAAGAGGAACAACACGAAGAAGGTGAAGTTTACTCAAATCCGTCTTTTGATGACACAACACAAAAGGCAAATACATCTGTAGAGGTAACTTCAAATATATCTTTTTCATTTTATTTGTATTCTTATTATTATAACGTTTTTATCTATAATGATATAGACTTGTAAAGCACTGTTTACTATGAATGCAGAGCTCAGATGCAAGAGCAATGGAAAAGTGTGGTGGTTAACAAAAACTGCGGATTGTACTGCAAATCCAGTACCGTAAAACCTCAAATTGAAGCCCTGGGCTTCTTCTTTTGTGTGAATTTAAATGGGCTTCTTTTCGAGGCTACTTTTGCAGAGTAAAGAGGTCGGTGGTGGGGGGGGGGGGTGTCTTCTTTTCAAAATGAGTGCTGTAAATTTTGTGAATTTGTACTTTAAAACAATAAATTTGGCCACTGTAACATCAATCTGTATCATGAAGTGTATTTAACCGACATTTAATCACCTAAACTACTGTAGAAACCATTTATTTAATTTATTTTTTTTTAGATTCATGTACAGTGTATATACTGTACTATTTTAAAAAGAAGCCGATAGGCTTCTTTTCGAGGCTAATTTTGCAAACTAATGAGGGGACTCAATTCGAGATGGGCTTCATCTCGAGATTAAGCCCACTGGGCTTCAATTCAATGTTTTTCGGTATTTTATTTAAATTTTTTTCTACTTGGTTGTTTTGTTTTTTTTTTATTTTGTATTAGTTGATGCAAGTACTAGTCATTATTTATTGGGGGTTTTTTTGTCAATGAAAAAATATATTTTAAAAGTCCTAATCCATTGAAATTTAGCAAAGCTAGTGCTCATGTAAAATTGAAAATATTTATGTTTAATATTGCAAACTTTTAGTTCAATCAAATTTTAAATAATTTCAAGTTCGGAAGTTTTTTATTTTATACAAACACCCAACATGTTTTTTAACGTAGGTATAGTTTTTTACCTGGTTTACAATAATAATTTATTTGTTATTTCTGTTGTAGACAAAAAGAAAGAATAAATATGGTTCATCTGTTGTCATTAATTCACCAAATAATTCAATTGAACCGTACCAAGAAGTGCCAGATGGTCTAGTCTTGCAAAATAGATTTGCAGACGATAACAAGTCTGCTCAGAAACCACTCTCTGAATCCCACCCTCATAATGGTGATTTAAAAGGTGCTGAATCTATTGATGATAAATCATCCGCTACAGACAGGACTAGTGAGGATGGACAGTTGTATTCTTCGGGGAAGCCAGATGCCGAGTCAAACACAAGCACTATTACCGTCAGCGTCGAGGTTCACTGTACAGATTTTGAAAACCACCAGAATGGAATATCCCAATCAAGCAGTAATAATTGTACACCAAAACAACGTAGCATTTTAGAGAACCATGTTGGAAATGACATTGAAAGTAATGGTATGGCGTTACACATAAACTCGTTCGCAGTTGAAAGGCTGGAGGGAAATATGAAGAAAACGAACGCATTTCAAAATGCAGGGATGAGTATTGCCTTGTGAAGAATCCAGTGTTTTAATAATGAATGCTAATACTATTTAATCATATTTTATTGGTGGCTCACATATATTACATTCATACTCTTATTCATGTTTGAAAGCTATACTGTAATTGGCTATCATACTGCATAAATAAATGAAAATATAATAATTATAATAATAAGATGTTTTATACGCCAGTATTTCTTAAGATGGTGCCTGGTTCACAGGGTGCTTTTGATATAAGTTTTGAGTTTGATATGTGATTTTCAGAGATCAATTGATACGGAGAAACTCTTCTGGAGATGTGGTGCTCCTGATGAAAATGACATTTGACCCCATGATATGCAAGTTTTTTTGTTTTTTTTTCTGAAAAAGTATCCTTTGTTGAAGATCTCATCTTTTTTCAGCATAATAACATTGAAGACATCTTTGTATGTGTGTATGTACATTATAGAGGAGCCATCAAAGTATTAATACACAAGTAACAGTATTTTAATGTAAGTTCTGTACAGTAGTAGCCAGTCTTCTTTTCTGTAGATTTGTTTGAGTTGGTAATCCATTAGCTGTGTTTTTATTTAAAGAGAGACTCTATTTTTTGTTTGAGTGTTCAATAGTCCACTAAGAACCATGTTTTGAGTGTCCAGTCCAGTGGCAAGTTACAAAATCGTAAAACATGCTGTGTAGGTTGATGTGTCAGCAAGTTGTTGCTGACTGTATGTTCTGTACATGTAACCCTGTCATGATCTTGTTTAAAATTTAAAAATTGTATAATTTAATGTTTATTTTATAATTCAAATGGATTTAATTTTTTTTTAATGAAAACTTTTAGCTATAATTAAAATTCTCATGATTGTTTATAGTTTGGAAAACTCTCAGATATTGAATTTATACATCTAATTACTTACAAAAAAATGTTGAATAAGTTTTAAACTAAGATATTGAATGATATAATTTACTTAATTTAAACTGAAAATATTTTAGCTCTACTACTTCAGCAAACATTGATCAAGCAATGATGTTAAAGTGCATTGACCTTTTGTCATTACTTTGGTGAATAGCATCATCTGAAAAATAAAAAATATTAATAATATTGAATTTGCTAATAACATAAATAGAACAAGTTAGTTATCATTCTTCCAATAAGAGACAGCGATCAAAACAATTCAATGTTTGCTTGATTATCAAATTTTTTTGGCAAAAAATTGTTGTGTGCTCATATTATAATAGTCAAGATGTGCCTATATATGGTCATGATGTGCCTATATATGGTCATGATGTGCCTATATATGGTCATGATGTGATGTCATGACCATATTTAGGCATGTCACATGTTTTAGTCAAATGAAATTTGATAGTCTGAATAGGCTTTAGACCTTTTACTGAAACTATTGGTCTACGTTAAGTAAAAGTTTTTCTAAAAAATGTATGTATTAATTGGTGAGAAAACAGTTCATATACAGTATTAGACAGTAGCACCAAACAGAGAATATATCTTTACATACGTAAGATGTTGTGAGATGCTTTATCAAGATTAATAATTGTACTATTAAGCCGGGCAGCTACTGCGCCCGTCGGTTGCCGGCCGATTCAAATTTATAGTGAACGCAACGCCACGACACTCGCATCAGATCTTTTTTTTAATAATGATCCATTTAGACTGCCACCGACAATCTGCAGACAGCGTTGTCTAGCACTCGTAGGGAGCACAAGTGGATTCGTCAGCCAACAGTCGTACTACCATCGTACGACGCATTGTGTGCACGGCTTGTGAATAACATGCATTTTATAATCAGTGGATTTTAAATGCCATTTAGTTCCAATTAATACAAATGTTGATTTAAATGAGGTAAGATATTGAATTGCTTTAAGCAAACTGCCAGTAATATTTTTAAATAGATAGTCGTAAATTAATGGAAAAACAAGGTATTGGTAATTTAGCTCTTTGTGATGAAATGTAATCGATTGTGGTAATTCGATGTAAACATAATGTTTATTGTTAATTTATAATAGAATAGGTCGTGAATTTATGATGAAAAATACTATTACCAAAATAAGTATCAGTAATTAATTTTAATATTATTAATAAGCGAGTGCCTTTGACACATATTCTATTTCATCTATATGTAATTTATTTCTTTATAATATTGACAATGTAAATATGATTATAAATCATGAATTATGCAAAGAGTTGCATCTGTTGTTGATTGCCATGTTTGCATATAGATATAAATTATATAATCTATAAATATATATAATTAATTATGTAGGTTTGTGGTAACGCTTCCAAGCATTGAGATCAAAAACAACATGTTTACCTTATTTTAATAAATTTTCTAGAATCTTTTATCGAGTTGATAGTCATTAATCAGCAATTAACTGACCAGAAGATAATGTTTCAATATATGTAAGATTTTAGTTTTAAGAATGAACATAATTATAATAATATGACAATAGGCCTCACAAGGCACTATTTTATAACATTATTGTCTTCTTTTTTGAAATAATAATAGCCTACATATATCTATATATTACTATGATGTTAAATATTGGAAGAAAACTTTGAAAGCGTCTTTGGTGCTCATATAGCTATAGCTAAGTAATAAGAATTGTATGCTATACTTTAATTACTATGCAAATAAATGAATTGTATCCATTGTATAACTCAGGAATTTTTGTAGAATGTTTTCCTTTTGCTGCTGAAGATTTGAGTCGAATACATAATTCTCCAATGCATTGTACAGACAAGTCATTCCTTACTCATGTTGGTCCAGTATATATGATCAGTATTAGAGATGAAATATTGTGCTAGCCATCAGCACACATATTATTCTGGCAGCCATATTAGTAATGTAAACATTCCGTAAATATATTCCAGTTCATCAAGAAGTATTTTTATACGGTTTTTTTCCTTCAAGGCAACATTTACGTGATCATTACTTTCATTCGGTTTTAAGAGCCAAAGAACAGAGAAGGCTCAATCATAAATTATCTGGCATTCCTTTCAAATTTTGAATTCATTAATCACACAAGCTCTCGACTTCTCCCAGGAATCGGGATGGCCTCCTGCAAGCAAGAACCTCTCGGAAAATAACCAATCTCCTGCAAATTCATAACATTTTTTTTACTGCATTATTATCAATTGTCTCATGAAAATTAGTTCCGATTTGCAAAGCTTGTTTAACCAGATCTCTTCCAAGCTGGGACCCCTGTGAACTACTAAATCCTTAAATTGGCGGGTAAATAGGAGTATGTCAGTAAATTGTCGCCTAATTTTCAGCTAAAGGCAGATAACTTATTTGTTATTTATTATTATAATTTTGGTTGGGCACAATAAAAGAAAATCTTTCAGGCAAGAAATAGTGTTTGCAACAATTCATCTGATTTTTAATGAACATATTTTATTTATAAAATGATTCATCATACATGCAATGGTTTTAGCACCATACCCAAAACAGAAATTTAAAAAATTGTATACTTCACAATTCATAATGTACACTTCCTTGTATGTTTAAATTAATGTCAACAAAAATGATTGTGTTGTAGTCCAGTAGATATTTCTAATCTATATTAAAACAAAACATTTACATCACAAATATTTCAACTTTTTTTTTAAACTGATGCACTGAAAACAATCCAACAATGAAAGGTTTGTCCCAAGTGTTAATGTGACTACTGTGTGAGTATACACCTATGGCTAGGCTTTGCATTAGGTCCAATCAGAGAACAGAGAGACATGGATATTTAAAGTTGCTCAATAGGTATTCTAACAGTAAGAGTTTATAGGTCCAAGCTCTGAATTTGAGCCCAATCACAGGGTGGTTTATGATGTCTAAATCCTCGATAGATTTGAGCTGTATTTTGGTGGTTAAGATGCTTGCCTTCCAATCCGAAGGTCTTGGGTTCAAATCCTGCAACATCACATTTTGTTCTTGCAACTTAAGCCAAGCACTCACTGCCCATGATATGGTCGTTGGCCTATGCGATTCCATGATGCATGCACAACGGATCTTTTTTAATGACAATCCTTTCGGACTGCTACAATCGGCAGACGGTATCGCGTCGTCTAACGCTCAGATGGAGCGGAGTTGGATTCGTCGGCCGACAGTCGCACGACCGTTGTATGACGTAGTGAGTACCCAGCTTCAAAAACCACACCACCTTTATAATGAGACATATATTATAGAACATCATTCCATCCTGTAATTGGCAAGAGCTGTTGGATGTAAAGTTAATAGCTATTTTAACAGATATTGGAATATCAATTTATAACGCATCACAATTTACAACCAATAAAATTACAGTGCTCAGATTGTTGCATTTTCAAGACACATCATCATCAATATCTCTTCAAGAAACTGCATTAATTATCAGCCTTTTAGGTATTTCAACTCAACAAACAAAAAAGGCAAAAGCACAATACAACAAATTAGCATTACACTCCTTGCAGGAGTTTGACGTGGCTTTTAATAAGGTCACCATCGTCGTTTCTTCAATACACAAAATGATAATCAATATTTAATTATTTATTAACATATAAAAAAACATCTCATATTTCTGATTCTTTGAACAAAATACTGTAATCAATTTCCCTTGTTAGTAAAATAGAACACTATTAGATCTTGAACGCATCTATGCAAGAGATCATTCATTTTTTTTTCATTGTATTTATGAGAGCATAAAACATAAGTTGGCAGAATTAACAGCATATTGTGAAAGATTTAACGACAAAGAAATATTGAATTCAAAATATTAACATAATTTTATTGTGTATTCCCTCAAGGAATTGGAGGGGGTTACAGAAAACAGTACAGTACTGTATGTTTTACACTCTCATGAATATAATGAAAACATGATGATATCTACTGTCAAAACTAGTTTTCTATTTTTACCTTTGATTATCACTCACACTCGTTGCTAATAGTCATGAAGTTACAATTAATGTACTCTAACAGCTCATCATTGTTTCTAAAGGACATTTGTACACTTAAATTACAAAACCCAATAAATTTTTTTAACCGTTTGTCCCCTTTATTGCAAAGTAGCCTAAATGGTTCACAATTTTTTTGAAGTAAAAATTGTATTTTTAATGATCATTTTATTTAAATTAAATAATCATTAATGAATTTCCATTATAGATTGTAGATTAACATTATTGAGTTATTATAATATCGACACACTTTTCTGTGTAAGATGAATTGAAAAGTTTAAATTAACTAGTTCAACATTGTCCTAAATATGGTCATGGTGACATCACATCATGACCATATATGGGCATCATATATGGGCACGCAATATTTTTTTTGTAAAAGTAAATTTGATAAGTTCACATATATACGCCACTTCATGATAAAGGGGATAAATTGTATAACTACTTTTTCAATCTAGATTTCTGTCCTTATCTACATACTTTATATTTTCTAACAGAATTAATATTCTTCTACAAATACATGTTAATGTTGAAATCGTGGAGCATTTGTGTGACTTGCCCATTATATGAAGGCTTAAAAGTAATAAAATTTGATTATTGTTTTTAACAAATAAAAGTCTAAATTGATATACTACATAACACAACAGACAAGTTAGAAGTTTTCATAATTTAACAAAAGTGATAATTACAGCAAAACTTGTAATGAAATTACAGACTTTAAATGTTATTTTTGTCTGATTATTTATATTATACTAATGACTTTTGCATGTTAACTACAATTTAAAGCATCACATCACCATAGCTCCAATCCCCAAAATAAAATGTTGATAGCAAATTGATACCCTTTGTTACATCCTTTTTAAGTAGCACAGAGAATTTAATAATTTATCATTCGATAAAATATATGTCCGTCCACCACACCTTGTAATTTCTACTCACATAGCCTATATATATATATATATATATAGCCTATATGCTTTTCATTTAAACAATGTATTAATAACAAAGCTAAGTTTTTGGAATTATAACCAGATTTGTAATGGTTACCAAAATATCTTTGCTTCATTTTAAGCTCCAAGTAAAAATATTAACTGAAATAAGAGGTTAAATCATGCTACTCCACACCACTGTTGAATAACATTACCGATCAATTAAGATTTGAGGGACAATTATCACATCTAACAGTGTTATTAAGCATTAGGCGACGAACAGTATATCATGCTTTAGACATTCTGTCAAACATGAATAACATCAATTACCATTACCAGTATTACCGAATTACTTTGTGGTAGAGGAGCCGAACCGGCCCTAGCTCTGTGCTCATAAATAGTGACTGCAACAGAACACAGAGCCTACGCACACATAATACCACTGGAAATAAATTTGCTTTTAGAACACTGACAGAAAAAGGTTCTTGCATCAGTCGCCTGCGTATAGAGGAATCATCTTTGTTGATACCTGTAGGATACCTGGAGAGGTTTTTCATTCCAGTCTGTCATGACTTTTGCGATCGACTTGTTTCAACGATTAATAATCTTTCCTCATCTCCGTTGATCATACAGAATATTTGTGTTTTGCCATCGATCCTGTTTTTGATTTAGTATCTGCATGGGACTGTAATAAAAGAAAGATATAAATTTAATTTAAATATATTTTCTAATTTAAACTTTTGTAAAAGCAACGATGACATTAAAACCTATAATACATGAAAAAGATAGATAAACCAACCAGAACCTGTAAAATATAAACTGTGAACTTAGAACTAATTTACTTGGAAAACTCCTACCTCAAATCCAATTATTATTCTTGCTGGTAGGTTAAGTCTGCTTTTAAATTTTCGACTGAAACAAAAGAATAACAATAATCAACATGGGATGGGTCTGGAGTTATGTGTTTATTAAGATGCTTTGTTCTCAATATCAGGGTCTGGTTTTAAACACCAGTAAAGTAACAATACAAATATAATAAATTAAATAAATGTAAACAATAATGATAAACAACAATCCAAGGGCAAGGAGCAGTTGGCGCACCGGTTGTGGCTTGGACTCCCAACCTTGAGGTTGGGGGTTCAAAACTCTGGCTGTGCAAATCGCTTGTGTCCTTGGGCAAGACACTTTATACGGTTGCCTCTCTCCACCCAGGAGTACATGTGGGTACCTGGTAGGTTCCAACACAACCTGCGCTGATTACTAGCTGCAATATTATGGAATGATAATATAATTTCATTTACTAATTTAATTTGGTGTTCAATGTATTCCATGTGTGTTTGATCCAATGACCGGGGAAGTAATGTGAAGCGCTTAGAGGCCTTGTAAAGGCATGAAGCGCTATATAAGAATGACATTATTATTATTATCCCAATATCTTGCATTTCATTTTTTTTTATTTCTATGAAACTATATAAATGAAGCTTTGTTTCACAGAATTGCTACACAGTCACTACAGCATTTTCACTGCAATCCTTGCACTGCGTACCTGTCCCCGGCGCAATCGGTAACGCTCCCCGATCTAGTGACCAATCAGCGTTGCAAAAGGTCGGCGATAGCATGTAGCAATTTTTATTGAAACTAGGCTTAACAAAAAAGCTTACCCAACAGCCATTACGCTTTCTTCATGTTGTGTACCAGTCCATATTGCTATCTTATCTCCCTTAGTTCGTATATTAATTACACATCCATTAACGTGATCTCCGTATTCTTCAAATGCTTCACCAACTAAGCACAACAACTAAAGATGGGAAAAAGAAAATCTGATGATGTTTTCATTGTATATAATAATAAAGATAACACAACTAACAATCCAAAGATTGTGTCAAAATGCATGTACCTAATTTGGTACCAGCATTCAGTGTCACCACATATACATTTTTCATACCTTGTTTTGCGAATTTATTTTTTGAAAGATCATCGGAGGAGGGCGGAAAAAATAAAAATAAAATTTTGTTTTCTATTTAGCAAATAGTTTTGCCAAAAACATCCAGACAGAGGAGAAAATGAAAATAAAATGTTATTGGTGAATGTAAACATTGTAGTAATGGGATGGTTAAATGCTTTAAATTTGCATAATTAGGAAGAATATATATATCCTATTTTTGGAGATTTCAAGATAGCGGCAGGCGTAATAAAAATAAAGGAAAACTTTTACTTTCTTCTGAAATTTCCATTGTTTCGTGGCAGCGGATGCGCTAATTGGCTAAAAATAAAAATTAATTTTTATTTGAAATCATCATTGAGGAGCAGCGGGTTCGCTAAACAAGGTATAAAAAGTCTCATAATAATAACAATGATAAAAACAATAAAGACAACGATGACAATGATAATTGATAATTTGCAGTGATGCTGCACCTGGTGGTTAAGATTCTTGCCATCCAATACCAAGATTCTTGGTTTAAATTGTTCACACGGAATAAATAAGACATTAATACTGGAACAGCCAGTATACTAGAACAAGCTGGAAGAGCTTATAAATATCTTTAACTGTACAACACAATAGTGAAAACTAGTGAAAACTTACTGTTTCCAGCCATGACCTATCTACATCAACATGTCGTTGCCTTTTGTCGAAATTCACAAGCCACCTCCCTCCAGCTTTGTTTTTATCGTCTTCCCACATTGGTTTCACTCCATCCTTTGAGAAGATAATCACAGAAATTTAAATTAACAAAACAAACAAGTATTATGAGCAGCACAGTGCTCTTATACACATCTAGATGTGTATAAGAGCCAGTTATTGAGTTATTATAATGGGGTGAGGGAAAGGGCACAACTTTATCAGAATAGATTAACTAAGTTATTCGAATTAGAGTTGCATTGAAATTTTAAAATTTAGTGGCAAAACAGGGGAGGGTGGCAAATCCCCCCATTCCCCCTACTGGATCTGTGCCAGCTAGTAGTAACACTTTTTAAGCACTGAGCCATGGAGAACTTTCCATCCCTGGTTCTATTACTACAAATAATATGAATGTCACCCCAAAAATATGCTTTGATTTTATTTACAAGAAGCATCATCAGCTGCTGTTCCTGTGAAGTACAGGTTGCGGAGCACCACCTTTTGAAAAAAATCTTTAGACATTTTATCCTGTGTACTACGATGTAGTTAATGTACTTGTTTTAAAGGAAGGATGAAGTTCAGTACACTACAGTTCAACCAACTTTGGGACCGGAAAATTTGGGGTTGGTCTCGGGTTTGGTCTCCAAGTAGAGGTTAAAAGATTGAAGAATATTAGTTGGTACTCAGAAAAAATGGTCTCAAATTAGAGGGGTCTCGGAATGGGTCTCAAACTGGAGAGCAAACTGTATTCAGAAAAGAGCAGGGGATTGTTCTATTTTATATACCAACAAATTAACCATCAGGTTTGGTGCTATAGATGGTACACTGCTACTATCATGGTTGTATCTAGGGGCCCAGTCCAATCTTCATACTTTTTTACAAACTCTCCCCTTTACGAACTTGTTCTCTCTCTTCTCCCCCCCCCCCAAACAACCAGAATGAGGTCATGAATATTAGTAATGTACTGAGGAGTTTACCTTGAATAATGAATAGTCGCATCCTGTTACCAGTTTACTTGCTAGTTGAATATGGTTATACACACTAGAAATAGTAAATTAAAATTACTTTGTATAATATTATTAAAAATAAAAATTTAATTTGAACCAAATATTTGTAGACACAATTTAATACAAATAACTTTTAGTTCAAAATAAATGACAGGAGTCAGCACTAAATTTAACAGTTAATTAGCTCTAGCTTTCATCTACACCATGGACATCTTCTGAAGAGTGTATGAATGGGAAAGGTAACATCTGTGACAACATACAGTAGAAAACAGGAAATTATTAAAATAAACACATTTTGAATCTGAAGGCTATCATAGAAAATGAATACTGTATAGTTACATATTTCAATTTGTTTAATAAGTCAGTTTATCCAGGCAAGTATTCACTAAGTAGACAATTTTTTTTTCTTCCTTTGCCTGCAAATAAGCTTTCTAATTAAAGGCTTCATTTTGCTTTTTTAATTCTGTGGTCATTGTCAGCTGTACATTAAAATACTTACGCCCAGAAGTCTTCTACCGTATCAAATGTAGTCACAATTCGAAGGTTGTCTGCCCATGACTTGGTCTTGTCGTTCTTAAAAAACCATAAGGCCCACTTATTTTCTAGAGGATGTTTGATTGCATATTCAGGAGCAATTAGTTTGTCATCATCATCTGAGGTCTTTTTAACAATTTCTCCTCCTTCTGTTTCTTTAGGTTTCTTTTCCTTAGTATCCACAACTTCCTTCTTCTCTTTCCTCTGTTTTAAATAAAAAATTAAATTTTATACAAATTAAAACTCTAAATTTCTAAATTTAATTATAAATAATGTCTATGATTTTATTAATACAAATTTGAAAACATTTATTAATGTTGAATGAATTCAGTCAAATTTGATTTACTAATGTTAATGTTAGGATTGTTAGAACTCGACGCAGGGTTCCCGGAACGCCGCCCTCGGCGGCGAGTGCGAAGCACAACTCAGGGTCAAAAGTGGAACGTGAAATTTGGATATGGTTTCGTAGTGAGATTTGCGAGAAAAAATTCAGCTACCCGTATTTCTCGACTGAGACGTCAGTGGGAGCTGTAATTTGTATGGCAAGGAGATTGTGCAACCCTTCATTCGTATTAAGGGAATTTACGCCCAGAAACTTTGTAGTTATTAATATTTTGGTTATAATAGAAAATATTCATTTTTTGGTGACGTCACGCTCACATTAGTTGCATACGTCATAAGCTAGATACGCCACCTTTTCCTGGTAAGGCAAACTTTCCCGGCGTGCTTTTTTCATGGATAAACAAACACAACTGCTTTGCACATAGATGCCTTGCCCAAGTCAGGGCTACAAGAGCCGTATTTGTTAGCATTGTATAATACTTAAACAAGGTACCTCTGCAAATGAATTATTCTTAGTTATTTTTTTTTTCTTATTTTAATTTATTTCTTCCGAAAGTGTACTCTCTATCACATATAATTCCACTGTCTCTTGTTAGGCCTAGGCCTATAGTCTTATGCCTCATCGTCCCCCCGCTACACAGTACATCAGCAGCCCCTCCCCCATACAGTACAGACGTTTGCTAGGTAACAACGTGATTGCACCTTCCTTCCCAGGTGTTCATGTAACATTGACATAATTGTTAGCTAACCAGTTATGTGTGTTTCTTTGTGAAAATGAGTACCGCGGCGTACTCATAAAAACAAAGCATTTGCATCCGCTCTTGGAAAGAGGGATTCGACATAATTGCCTCCATATCTTCACTAATTAAATTAATCACCATAATTTAGCTTACACTTATGAATTTAGGGAGCACTTAAAATGTGAAATAATCATTTCACCACCCGACAAACTCCGAACTTTATTCATTCATTAGGCCTACATAACAGTTTCATATTGCTGTACTATATATACTCCAACATCACTGGTGCATGGTAACAACCAACTGACTGCAGACCATTTCCGGTCACACATTACTCTCCATAACACAGCACCCCCTAGTTCCATCACCTCTGAGTTGCAACATTAAGAATCATATTGCTGCTACATACAGTGTTCCATTTATCATGGCTGTACTGATTTGTGGCTGGTCTTACCCAATTTATGTTTAAATTTAAATTTGTTTTGAGAATTCTACAGCCAAGGGGTTAGAGAATTAATGACTATGCAGGTAGGTGTGGGTAAAAATTTGTTCTTAAAAATGAAAGAACACGTACATTAAACAATAAACATTAATGTTCAGTGATGGGGAATTCCCCATTCCTGGCTGGTGGGAAATTCCCATCCCTGACAAACTGACAGGAAATTATCCACTTATCCTTGCCCCTTTCTTGTCGAGTTATCAGTTGGTGCACTTCATTTTAAAAAATTAAACAGTAGTTTTTGTTGAGATATGATGAATGACTGAAGCAATCCAAAAATTAAAGATTGACATTATCTTGTATTCAATAAAGAACAGCTTGCATATTGTAGGCTGGTGATTAGTCTAAATACATGCTTGGGTTAGGTCCAGTCCACCCTCTCAGCAGTTTAGCAGTGTACATCTCGTCTAGCAAAGGTAGGCCAAGAGCATAGGCCTACACCCGAGTATAAATAAGTAGGCTAGGCCGGTGGTGGAGCGGAAAATGAAACTAAACCATCATTCCACACACACACAGGCTGGGCACAGAGTTGCCGAGTACTCGTTCAATATCATATTGTAAACCCGCATGAAGTAATTTGGATACCTAATATTCTATAAGAAACGACAACCTCTACATATTTAAAAATTACATTTCAAAATGGTTCAACTCTTTCAAGCAACTTATTAGTTTACCTCTTCAGTCATTTTCGTAACTTCTCCAGATGCCATGTTCGATGAATGAGGAGCAGTCATGGCCGATACCACGTGACACCGGTAGTTAGACTCGATTTCAGTCGCAATAATGTATGGAATGTTTGATTCTAATTTACTTACACTACGATCAGTCATAGCTTTATAAGTATATATCTTTTTGTAACAATATTACAAATATTATATTTCATAAACAAATGTAATGAGGTTTAATTAACATTCTGTATTTGGATGACCATATTTGTCAACTAGATGAAGCCTGGACTGTTTTTCTAAACAAAGTTCATAGGTTAAAACTCAGAACTGGGAGGAGTTCTAGTTCGGAAAAGATGGCAGATTTGCAACAGTATGAGAAGGTTCAAATCCTATGTTCATGTGGGATTCGGTCTCCTATTACAAAACTTTATTTCTGCAAACATTGTATGAAATTGAGATGCAAACGCTGTGTATCACACGAGGTAAATATTGCATTACTAAGTGAGAGGCCTAGGCCAGGCCCATCCATATGGCATGGGTGTTTAACAGTTTATTAATATTAACTTCTTTCGGCAAAGCAGCAGGGCAGGGTTCTGGGACGGTGAGGGTTTTGAGTATAGAAATAGGCCTAGCCTAGTCGTAGTAGGTCCCAGGCCTACATCACTTAGTAGGCCTAAGAAAATGCAGTAAAAATGTTTGTGTGTGTGTGTTTGTGTGCTTCGTAGGAGAACTAGCAAATGCATATTATTAGGCCTAACCTTTTTTTTTATGTAATGTAGGGGGATTCAACAATGTAGGTACGTGACAAAAAAATTTTAAATGCAAGAAATTTCTTTGCAGCCAGCACCATTTGAAAGAGCATTAATGTAGGCCTAGATTACATTGATCCCAGGATCATTGTCCTTCGTCCAATATCAACGAAGTTACAGAATTTAAGAAATTATTAATTATGCCTAATTTTGGCCCTTCAAAACCAATGTAAACAATAGAAAAGTAGGCCTATGTGACTTTTTCCTTGAAAAGTGATCAAAAACTTTTTTTCTGTGTTTTTTTAAATATATTTCAATGAAATAAAAAGAATTTGAAAGCATACATACAACAAGGACAAAAAAGAATTGTGAAACTCATTAAAATTCAATCATATATTAATTAAATAATAATTTAATTAATTAATTACAAGTAACTAATAACCATTATAATTATATAGACATACTTCAATGTTTAAAGACATATGGTCAAGAAGACTCACAAATACAAGATTTTGTTGCTCAAGTTAACATAATACCAAAACTAGATTAATCTTGCATTTGGCATTATTGGTCATGAAAATTTATCGATTCTGGTTAAATTTACGTTAATGTGAGTTCAACTTTCAGCACTCGAAATTAGCTCACCACGGCACTGAATTGCCAAGGCTCCTTTGTTGGCAAGTTAAATTTATGAATGTAGGCCTACTCTACCATGAATCCTCGGTGCACGAATATCAAATCGTCCCCAAACGTGTAGGTGTTTATACTATAGTAATGTTAATATACAATAACTTAACCAAACAAATTTTTGTAAAAAACAAAGGTGTTTCTACATTTTAAAAACAAGATCGAATCGACGGCAAATCAAAGTACATGGGGAGTCCCCAAATCGGTTGAATGAATTTTTGTAAACAGTTTAATTGAGTGCTAGTTTATCTGTGAACCTCCATGTTTTGGCGTAGGCCTATTAGTAGTATGTACGTTGTCAAGTGCATTTAATTCAAGTGCATTCAATTCAAGGCAATTCAACAACAGTTGCCTATTTTATACCTCCATGGTTCATTCAACAAATGAGTAAAATAAAAAGAACACATATATTTCCAGTTCATAATATCACCTTTATTTGAAAAGTTAACAATGATTTAATAATTTATTTATTGATTAAACTACATACTATTGTAGGAATTTAAAGTATGTTTAATTAAATCATTGCCGTGGTGAGCTTGGGCACTGCGGCTTAGGCCAACGCTAATTTTGAGTGCTTAAAGTTGAACTGACATTAACGTACATTTAAGCAGAATCGATAAATTTATGTGACCGATAATGCATGTTTGTTAAGAATGACTGCGCATGCGTTATTTATTTCACATAAATATATCATTTACTGATTTGTTTACGGTCACATAAGTATATCCACTTCCAATAGAATAACTAGGCCTAGCTTGGCCTAATCAATATTATAATATTATTAAGATGTTCCAGCTGGCCAGTCTGAGTGTCAACACCGTCACATCCACAATCATATGTACTGTACCAGCCATAGCTGGATTTGACCGCGAAAAAATGGTCAATAACATGACAGTGGGTCCCGTAGTTGGGAGTCTTACAAATATTTATCCACTATTTTATATTGTTAAATTTTTTTGTTTTAGGTTGATTCTCACTTCTGTCCAAATTGTCTTGAAAATATGCCATCTGCAGAAGCAAAAATAAAGAAGAACAGGTAATTGAGATTTTTATTTAGAAATGCTTTAGAAATCCATAGACCCCTCTACATTGGAATTTACATCAGAAATTACTTGTGTTTTTCCCCCTCCCCTTTTGCATCCTCCCCTTTTGCATCCTCATCCTTTAGATCCACCCCCTTTGGATCCACTCCTGCATTATATAAGCTTGATGATGTCATTATTCCTTATATGGGGCAGATGTTGTCATAAACTATATATGGTCAAAGCCCAGGCCTGTGACGAGGCCTCTGGAATACTGATTAAAGCATTCTTATTTCATGATGATGTTGGATTGTGTATAATCTATCTCATAAAATGAGGTTCTGTAACCTTATTTATGGATAAGAAAGTATAATACACTTTACGCAGATTTCTTTTTTCCTTTTAAAAAGATCAGTCTGCATTGTTTTGTCTAATTTTTATATGAGAAAGATGAAGAAATTAAATTTGTGTTGTTTTGCATAGATTATTATTATAAAATGTGCATGTTGTGTTTCACAGGTGTGCTAATTGTTTTGATTGCCCAAGTTGCTCGCATACGCTTTCAACCCGAGCCACTAGCGTAGCACACACTGATACAGAGGATCAAAAAAAGAGTACTACACGTAAGGTGTACTACTTGGCGTGTGGATTCTGCCGTTGGACCTCAAGGGATATCGGCATGAAGGATAAGCAAGCAGGTGATTGAACCATATTAATAACATTAATACATTTGAATTGTACTGTTATTGTAGGCTCGTTTGTTGTTATGGATGAAGAGACTTCAAGGACAATGTGGATGAGACAGAAGAGAAAATGCTCACCCTAGTTTATAAACAGGCACATAGACTGGTTTTCTCAGAACCTATCTTCTTTTATATAATGTATTCTTAAATCTACTCACCATTTTGTCTTACACATTTTCATAACTCTTATGATAAACCCTTTAACATTTTCTTTTTATCACCCTATTTGCAAAATTGTATTATTAGTATAATAATAACAACATAGTATGTGTTATTTAACATGCTTACATGCTTATTTTCTTATTATTATTATTATTCTATATTTAAGAAAATCAATTATCCTTTCATGTCTTTTTTCCCTGAAATATTTAGCCAGTGGACAGTGGGATGAAAAAGAAAATCCACATGCGAAGAGGGTGAGTATATGCATCATGTTAATATAGTGTAGGTTAGTAATTATGTTATACATGTTTCTGATATCCAGTGTTATTTAGATTGTATGGGCTTATGTACAATAATGTAGATTAAGTTATACTTTACATTGTGTATGACTGTAATTCAAGATTGGCCTTTTGCCTAGATTGTTCATCTGTTGGCATTTTTCTGTAACAGGCAACTGTAAATATTTTATTGTATATTGCCAGTGTGAAGAACAAATGTATTATAAATAATGACTTATGGTAATAATTAGCTACCTTCAGTAGAGGTTCCTACAAAATGCATTACAGGTGCTGCATTGTTATAACAATTGTTTTTTTTATTACTATTTATTCTCTCAGATATCTGACCTGCTCGTCTACTACAGGCTGTTGGCTGGACGTGAGAAACAAGAACGAGAACGCAAACGCTTCACAAGGCGCCGTTTTATGCCAGAGAAGAGTCCAGGTAGCCGAACTTCTCGAAGAAGTAGTGCTTTGATGAGTGCATTAGCCTCGTAAGTTAATGTTCTCTCGTATAATCAGAAATGACATAGCTGCTGTGACCCCAGCCCATTAATCCTCCTGGTCATGGTTGTTCTTCAAGGTATTTTGAAACATCCCGTTCTTATCATTTCCGTGGGCTTGCTCTCCCTCGTCTTCCATTAATTCTGCCTTCCAAGCAATTATAATACTTACTGTGTATCCTTACCTGAACAAAATACTTAGCTTTGGTTTAATTACATATTTTAATTAATAGCCTTAGCTTTGCCCACACTATCAAATGTTATGTGATAAAAAAAATGTGATATGCCCATATTTGGGTGTAATATAACAACATCATGCCCATATATGGGCACATCACACAAATTTGTCACATAAATCAAATTTTATGTGACAAAAAAATGTGATATTTCCAATTTTGGGTTTACTGTAATATGACACATGCCCATCACATCACACACATTTGTCACATAAAATGTGATAGTGTTAACAAAGCTTTGTATGAATGATTTGTGAATGTTCTAACTAATGTCGTTTTTAATTGACAGACTTAAAGTGGCTGAGAGTCAACCTGAAAAAGACATAACTACAGTAGAAGCTGAAGCCTCTGAAGATGTTGAACCTCTGCCAGCCAAATATTATACTCAAGTAGTTGTTCTAGAAAAAGGTAATGCTGGAACCTATGAGATATTTAGGGCCGTGTCTATATTACAGGTCTCCCTCTAATTAAAGACCACTTTTGGGATGGGGTTTCCATTGTCTTTAGCAGCTTTGGTCTCTAATTAGAATAATAAAGATAAAAGATGGTTGTCATTTGGGAGCGCAGAAATGTGGCCTTTAATTGGAGGTGGTCTTTAATTGGTGGGGTCTTTAATTTGAGAGACCTGTATTTGTTCCAGTGAATGAAGGACATTGTATTTATATCTGCCATTTAATACTCTGTCCACACATGGAGGAATTAGTGTTTTTATTTGCTCATATATGCCCTCTAATTAACGACCACCTCCAATTTAAGACCACCAAATGAATTAATTAATTATTTTATATAAAGCCGCTAAAGACCATCAAAAATCCAGTCCCAAAAGTGGTAATTAATTTGAAGGAGACATGCATGTCTATTTGAAATTTCAATTAATGTTTCAAGTATGGTGATGCAGATGCATCTCAGTGCTTCAATATTTTGTGAATTTCAACTATTTTTGAATAAAGAAATACCAGAAATATAGCACTGTATATAATCAAATAATTGTAGAAACAGTATTCGATTGCCTTTAAGTTACTATGCGAACTTTAGTCAAGTACTAGTCTCTTTATTCTTTTATTTTTACTAGTAATTGATTTTTTTAAAATTTTCTTCAAATAGTGGCAGCAGTTGAGCAACGTCATATGCAGCCAGAATTTAGTTGCTCCAACATCAACGAGCTGTTCCCACCTCACAAGCACCTTCTTATTAAAAGATCCCAGAGATGTCGGGTATGAATTTAGTAGCAACATTTGTAGTGTAGTTTTAGTTACAACTGCCAGTACAGCATTATGCAGTACGACAACAAAGTTACTTAGTAACTTATTATTAGAGAATATACAATGTATAGACAGTGGCATAACGAAGAGGCCTGAGGCCCTGGCTAAGAAATCTTTAGGCCTTACTGCCTTTGGGCTGGGGCTGAGTGTTTTTGACATTTTAGTCATGATAAAAAAAATGATAGGTCATAATTATGTGTTATGCCATTGCATTTAAACCAAATTCTTAAAGAGAAAGTCTGTGTATGTTATTTAACATTATAATCAATGAAGCACACATTACCGGTGACAGCGATTTTATGCTTTTGCTTGTTCTCGTCTTTTATATCCATTTGTCTTGTTTTTTTCCTTTTGTATTTTGCCAGAATGAATAAAATAAAATAATGATTTATAGTATTGTTTATTTAACATTTTATTTAATAGTATTTTATCGTATATAATGTTTAATTTTATCTTTTTATTCCAGGAATGTGAGCATAATCTGAGTAAACCTGAGTTTAATCCATCTTCCATTAAATTCAAACTCCAATTAATTGCTTTGTAAGTACTTTCATCCTGAATACTGCCCTCTATATCATACACAGTACTATTAATATTACTATTATTTTCATAAATATTTTTATTGTTATTAGTATTGTTAAATAATTATTATTATTGTTAATATGTGAAACTTGCTCCTTTGTTCGCGCCACCTAGGTAGGGGACCAGGATTGCGCCAGGGCAGAGGTGGATGGTTGACCCTTTAAGACCTAGCGCTGTTTGCCACCACACCTTATTTGTATTATTGTTCTTTTTGTTTTATAATTTGATGTAAGGCACATAAAGGCACTGTACAATATGCACTATTATTATTATTATTATTAACTGCACAATAAAGTGTATCATATTTTTTGTTAACAGACATTATATACCAGATGTTCGTATATTTCTTGTACCAAATCTGCATTTTGAGCGTGAGAGTCAGGTGACATTTTTGTTCATTAATCCGATGGAACACGTCACCAACATCAAGTTAGAAGCCATTGAACCAAATGACAAAACTTTAGCAAACTCTAAGGTTAGACACTTTTTGACCATTATTATTTTATCAAAGTTTTGTAAAATGCAAACTAACTTTTAATGATGCAAAAAAATTTTAATTTTTTTGTTAATATTTCAGTTGTCTTGTCAAGATCAGTGGCAGATTCAAGGGAAGGGGGAAGCCGGCCCAAGGCCCCCGGGCTCCCCACCCCAGTAAATTGTTCAAAATTTTCAAAAAATAGATATATATAAAGAAAATAATATTCAAATTTTAAGTCTGGATGCGCAATTTCCGGCCATCTAGAGGTGCCATTAACACTAATTTTCTTACCTCAGCCCCAACCATCGTGGGGCTGAGGTGGTATAGATCCTCCATCTGTGAAAGTATATCCCGGGCCCCCTCTATTTCGAATTCCTGGATCTGCCACTGAAGATGTACTAACTTTGATTTTACCAATTGTAAATTTTTCCTTTAAAATTTAGATTGTTGTCCCAGAAGATGAGTTAAGTTTGGCTGCTAAAGATGACACTGCCGAGTACGATGACCAACCCCAAGATTCCTCTCAGTTTGATGATAATTCTGAGTAAGTGGTAACATCATGGATTTTATATAAGTATTCACAGCGTCCCGTGAAATCTGGAAAAACTCTAAAACATTTAATATAAACAATGAATTTTGAATTTAAAAGGGTCAAATAGGTTAACTTCCACTGTAATGTAGTTAGATTTATAAAGCGCTTAATACCGAACTCAAAGAGTTCAAGGTATGGAATAGCTCGTACAGTAACATTCTTCTCCCCTAAGGGTCTCTTCGTGTCTGGGCTACCCGGTAAGCCACTACCAGCTACTCTTGTCTCGCCACAATGAGTTGTATGGGCCAGTACACCGTGCTAAACTCCTACTCATCTCGAAAAATGTACTGAATTCTATAAAGTGCACACAAGCCAAGTTGTGTACACCAGGCTGGTGGTTTGTAGTCCTTATGCAAGAAGATTTGTTTTACATCCAGAATCATAGGCGAACATGCCATTTTAACCAACACCGATATTATGGCTGGACTTTGCAGCGCCCCTGCCTTAACCGCTCAGCCATTTGAATCGTCAGTGAGACACAGATCAAAATAATTCAGTTGCTGAGTTATAGACTTTACTACAGATGATTTTTAATTGATTGCCATCCAATGTAAGCTTATTTGTGAAGGATGTGATGATATAGTTTATACTGACTGCATTATGTACATTTCCGACAGAACCAAAGCACTGCACAAATATTAAACAAACAAAAGCAACAAAACACAAGAGTTATATGTGTGCATTTGTGTAATATTTTAACATTGCAATGTGTTTATGTCCATGTGGAATAATCTTTATAATTTCAGCGTTGTGCATTTCCGACGAGCTCACAAGCTGGGTGTACTGGTTAAAGTTACTCCTCTAACTTCTTCTAGTGATGTGATTGTAAGTACAACTTTCACTAGGTTGTTATTGATTCTATAGATTGAATGTCCAAATCCCTTTTCCCTTGAGACAAAATTTTATATGGGATGCTTGCTGCATTTTACAAGGAAGGTGTTCTACCTAAACCACAAGTGAATAAAAACCTTTCTGAAAGTGAGTGAGATATGCTTGACACTGCAGTCGGTGACTATCCATGAGCATGTGCATGTGCACAGATTATTGCTAAATATCTTGGGAGTGTTACAGGCCCCTGCGATGTCTGTTTTTCTTACATGGATACTCCACGGTGCACATGCTAATTACACATGGTGCATATGCTAATCCTACATGGCGCGCATGCTAATCCTACTCGGCACACTGTGCACTTGCACAGTGGACATGTTAATTCTGCATGGTGCACATGCTAATCCTGCAACGGTGCACATGCTAATCCTGCAACGGTGCACATGCTAATCCTGCAACGGTGCACATGCTATTCCTGCAACGGTGCACATGCTAATCCTGCAACGGTGCACATGCTAATCCTGCAACGGTGCACATGCTAATACTGCAACGGTGCACATGCTAATCCTGCAACGGTGCACATGCTAATCCTGCAACGGTGCACATGCTAATCCTGCAACGGTGCACATGCTAATCCTGCAGAGATGCAAATTCACATATACACAATGTAGCAGGAAGTATGTGCTGAGTTTATCCTAGCACGCAATGTGTGTAACACAAGAGTGTGGGCTGAAACACAGGAGAGCCATTCTGCAGATGATGCTTTCAGTTCTTGAATCAGCTGGCTTGAAATCTTTGTAATGAACTTTTTTCATATGCTTTGGTTTTATTTACCAAGAGTGCAACATTGATAATTAATGCAGTTTTTTATTGATCATCTTTTGTAACATAATTATTTGCACTGTGTATCACTTTCTCATATTTACCCATAGGTGTCCTTCCTTTTGAAATATGATTTCAAAAACATTAGCACTTCACTACGTACTACTGAAGAAACAACTCGAGAGGTCACATGGCTGGAGAATGAAATCACCATTAATCTTGGATGTCTTGCCCAATAAAGTGGAAATAGCAGTCGTAGCGATATGTTTTAACTTAATTGATATCATGTATTCATATAGAGGAATTACAACCATAGACTTGTCCATTGTCACTCACTTTTTTTATGTTGTCCAATAAAAATGCACAAATTTCTTAGCAGACTAGCTTAAGTAGTATTTGGGAAGAAGGGGTGAGGGTGTCGGAGATGGCTAGATATTCTTAAATATAGTTACAGGATTAGAAATATGAAATAAAGCTATCATCTATATCCTGTCCCAAAAGTAGTTGGTGCAATATTATAATATTATGTTAATATTATTTTTGAAGCTGTTATTTCTGTTGTTTTGTTATTATTATTATTATTATTATTATTATTATGATTTGCCTGAAGAAGTGTATTTGTACATGAATGCTTGTGTCAATAAATCTCAACTACCCATGAATGTGCTACCTTTGTGTATTAAAATAGACTGGTATGACTCGTACGGTATTATTTGTAACATGTAGTTAGCAAATAAACATTTAAAGTAGGCCTAGTTTCATTATATAAACATGTCTCCCTCCAATTAAAGACCACTTGTAGACCAGGATTTCCATGGTCTTTAGCAGCTTTGCTATGTAATTTGAGTAATAAATAATAAAGAAATTTTTTAACATTAGAGGTGGAGACCTGTATTTTGTTTAATGTCATTTTGATTTTCTGAAGAGTAATACTTAAACATTTTTGGAGTCTCCTATCTTGGTATTTAAAATCATGTTTAAAAGTTGTAAATGTCCAATTAATTTTAATTATTGTTACATAAATGAATTTGTCATTAATTATTCGAATAACCATATTAAGCAATTAAATGATTGTGAAGTATAATTTGCCAGTTTAAGTGTGTCATCTTTTATTAGGCCAAAAATGTCTGTTGCCCAAGCAGAATGATACCAAGCCCCGCATCTTGGTTAATGTTGGGAGTCACAGAACGACAGCATAAGTGTACATGAGCATTTGGGGGACAAGTGCGGCATGTTCTTATTGGTCAATTATTATTTTTGATTGACACACCTGAAAAAGAAAATGAATGTTGGTTGCCCAAGAATTCCAGAGATTATTGGTAACCATTACTCACCTAATGCATTTTGGCAGGTAAAATTGTAATTGATTGACCAAAATCCATGGTTTAATTATTTGATTACATATTTAAAGCTGGGAAATGCCCATACAATGTAACCTCTCCCACCAGGGTTTCTTTCTTTTTTTCAGCATACGAGTGTGCTAACTCTGCAAAAACTCGTAGGACGGTTCGGAAGGCTCGGGGAGAACTCTTACCTACTCGTAGCAGCTCTGAACTCGTGGCCATCTGATTTTGAACATGTTCATAAATAGCGCTACGAGGCAACTCGTTTAAAACTCGAAGTACTCGTAGGTAACTCTTGGAGTGCTCGGGGTACTCCTACCTAACTCGCACACTACCGAGAATACTCGTCGGCGGTTTTGTCATCCACGAGTTTAATGCGAGCACCCCGGAATGAGTACGAGTTTTCACTCGTACTTGAAAGTACGAGCCCACGGAGTTGGCTACGATCACCAGGAGCATTGGTCGAAATGCTCTTACCTAAATCGTATCTAATTCGGTACAAACTCGTACGCTCGTAATAATCTCGTAAAGGATGTAGCAAACTCGGCGCTTCGCTCGGCATAAGTCGTACATACGTGTAACCAACTCCGTAAGGTCGTACCTACCTTACTCGTTGCTAACACGTAGTAAGCTCGTATAGAGGTCCTTCCCCAAGCGAATTTAGTAGATCACAAGTTTTTTTCAACTCGTAGAGCTCGTGCGACACTTGGATGAAATGAACCTAGATGGGAGAGGGGTGGGGGAGACAATTTTTGTTTTCAGAAAAAGAAACCAGCCTAGATTTTTACGCTTTTGTGTCAGGTTTTAATCATCATTTTATTATTGTTATTGTAGTTGAGATTACTCAATACTCAAGAATGCAAAGTGAAACTTTATGTATTATAAATTTTATTGTTTATTTTTTCAGTGCATTTTTTGTAAGTTACATAAATCTTGGTAAGTAGCTTATAGGATATATAGAACAAAATATATATTACATGTAAAAATGTGCGTAAACTATTTTAATATTTTATTATTTTCATTATTTTATTATATGAAGGCAAGAGATTTTTTTCCACGGGAAGAGTAGGCACGTACATATAACATACTGTACTAGTCCTTTCATTAGGCCATGCAACACTTCCAACAGGTTATGTTAACTGCTTTGTCTGCATTTACTTGAATAAACTCCGCTCTTGGATAAACGTCCCTAGACAGTTATTTACCCTCGAGTAAACTCCCCTTAAATGACTGTACAAATCTAATGGAAGCAACATAGTTCTCAACGTATTCTATTAATGTTCTACTCCAGTACAATACATTTTTTTCTAACCTGGTTATTTCATTTCATTTATTTATTCGACCAAAAAAAAATACTCTACAATAATTAGAACAAACAATAAAACAAATGGTCAGGAAAAACTAAAGCGACAAAAGTCACCGACTCAGGAGTGAGTAATTCCAACATAAAATAAATCTATATATTATATACAAGACCTAAAATACAAATAAAATAAGGCTTCAAAGTGGATAGCAGTCATAAAATGAAAGTTAAAATTTAAAATTGAGTGGGAAAAATAAGTAATAAAATACTTTATATAAGAAACTGACACATTGTCACAATTGTTTTAAAAAGGTTAAAAAATGCAATACATTTGATTTTATAGTGATGTTGATAATAATAATAATAATAATAATAATAATAATTTTTTAAAAAAAAATATAAAAAAAATAGAGAGACTTCCTGAAGTTAGAAATAAAAGTATTAAAGGAACAAAGGACAGCAAGATCTTTAATATATAAAGGAAGTGAAGTCCAAAAAACATGGAACTGGTGAACTGGGGTGAATTGAGGAGTCACTGTCCGCGCGAAAGGATGTCTAAAAGAGATAAATTCAGTATGACGCGGATTAAAGGAGAGATTAGACGTTATACTACTAGTACAATTATTATAGCCATATAAACAACGAAAGACAAAAGAAACTAGAATTAATTTACGTCTATTCTCAAGAGAAATCCAACCAAGTGTTTTTAACCTATCTGGATAAGGCATTTCCCCCATCTTGACTTTAAGATCGATAAATCTATACCGTATAATATTAAATGCGATAACATTATTATGACGGTAATTTACATTTAGAGTGAAGTCAAGGTGCATTTGTTTAAGTATACTGTGTACGTATCCACTTTACACACACAAAAAAAAAAAACGCCTCCCTCGAATAAACCTCTTTCTCGCCCGAATAAATACGATATAAATTTTATATTTTTGATTTTTTTTTTTCATTGTTATATTGCGTTATTACAGTACCATAGCGGCATGGGCGCACGCCCTCCCCCGTGGTTTCCTGCTTGCTGAGTAGAAAGTGCACTCAAGAACTAGTGATTAAAGATTACCTCATTCTCGCAGCTAGTTCCCACGATCTTCCATCGGGCATCACCCCCCCCCCCCCCCTGTCCCCCCCCCCTCCTGTCCTATAGCTTATTAGCTCCATTTTGATACTTATAGCGTATATTAACACCACTGCAATACTCTAGCTGGTACTGAAATATTCCTTGGAAGAAATTAGCTCTATACCGGTAACAAAAGAAAGTTATAAACGAGGCTTGACAAGTGTAATTTTTAGGATTTGAACTGGACCATTGGACTGGAAGCGAGAATCTTAATCACCAAACCCGCCCTCCACTCTAGCTGAATGTGATTTCATGTATGAGGACGGAAACATTAGACAAAAACAGCATAGAGTATTACAGACAATAGACATGTTAACATGTTTAACAAATGACCGCTGGGGCTGGTGTTGCCAATGTTACAACCATCTGTATGACAGCAGTAATAACAGGTTTCAGTGGTCACCCCGAGTCCTCTATATATGCAATAGCCATCTACACAGTTACTTGAACAATCGCGAATAAATTCTACCAAGACACCGGCATTTTTTACAATTGTAATCTGAAAGCAATAAGAAAAAAACGTTTACTATATCAACCATTCAATTAATCCACCAATCAACCAACGAACAATCCAAACAGCCTAATATAAACAGACCTAATAAAATATAATAATTATAATAATAGTAATGATAATAAAATAATGAAAATAATAATGCTAGTAATAATAATAAAATATTTTTTTAAAGCAACATATTAATAACAATAATAGCCTAATATTAATAATGATAAAACAATAATATAATAATATGCCTAATAGGAAAATAATATGATGATAAACATAATAATGAGAATTATGATAACGATGACGCCGATGGTGGTGGCGACGAAGACGACAAGAACATTATTTTAATGGTGATAGCAATAATAATAAAGATACATATCACTTACAACGCAAGATTTTTCAAATGGCTGACATAGTCTCGGTACAAACGTTGTGTTTGGACTGTTCAAACAAACTTCCCCTATTTTTGTACTTTTATAATATTTAGAGGAACAGTCGAAGCAACTTAATCCAGTTCCTAAACAAAATAAAAACAGAGGCCTACTATCATTTCCCCCATAAAAGTCTTGTACAGTACTTTTATGGCCGAAACATACGTGGAAAACATCAGTTATATTGATTATAAAATTATGATTACTGTATATAAATGATATATGGGTTAGATATATGTGATCTAGTGATGTCGCTTGCCTTGATAGCGAAAGTTTTTTAGGATCGAGTCTACCAGAGACGTACAAAATATAATGATGCTTGATACGATTATGACATCTAAATATTTCTATATTTGAGGACTATTATTATTGTTTACCTATTAGGCAATTAAAATGTTATCTGAAGAGTGTCACATCATGTCTGTAGTACCGGTACATTGTGGTACAAAATTAAGTAATAATAAAATTTCTAATCAAAGCTACCTCGCTTTTCATTATTTATTTATTTCCGCTCTTGTCTACTGTTCCTCTTTAATTTTATATTGTTTTGCATTATGTGACCGTTTGCTGTTTTTATAGGTTTCCCATTTGCCTATTTAAACTTAAATGTATATTTATATATATGAGTAGGCCTATATATATACATATATATATATATATATAT